GCGAACAGCTCTCGTTGGCTGGCGCTCATCTATTACCGTCCCTGTTTTGGTTTCAGCAAATCAGTTCGAGCGAACGCTGACAACGTGATTAATATTCATGAACCCAGCAGATAATAGTAGTAGTAGTAGTAGTATCTTTTAATAATAATTACTATTACCTATGACCAACAATATCTTAAACACCATCACCAGTCCTAAGTTCAGTTAAAATTACAAATATGCATTCATTCATGGTTACCAAGTTTTAGTTCTAATCACTAGTTCTATCATTAAATAGTGCTTAATTATCATAATATAATATAATGCTTGATTGACTTAAGTTAAGAGTGCACATTTAGTTATTTAAGAAGCTGTTCCATTTTACAAAGATAAGCTGATTGGGTGGAATCATGTGTGTGTGTGTGTGTGTGTACCTACTTAACCATATTTTGGGGGCAAATTTGTACCCAAAAGTGAGCACAGCCTTGTTATAAAAATAAAGTAAACAACGTTTTTTTTTTTACTTTTGAAATTGTAAAAATGCAGAAAGTTTTCTTTGAGGGGTAGGGGTGGGTTTAGGTTAAGAATTGTATAACTATCTGTATATAAAAACAATAGAAGTCTATGTAATGTCCCCATTTAGATAGCCAAGTAAACGTGTGTGTGTGTGTGTGTGTAAAATAGTATATCAGTCTGGCGAGTAAACAAAAAAATTTACTAGCCAATGGCGATTATATTGCCAAGGTGTGCGTAGAGGGTTGTAGTGCAAACAGTTTTACAGTTTACTGCACGTTGTTATTCTCCTCGTTATTTACCTATAGCGGCTAATGAACCGGAAGTCTCACCCATAGGCTTACTTCCGCGTTGAAGAAAAAGGTGGATAGGCTGTTAAGACCGAATGCATGGATCCAATATAATAATGCACGTGCGATTTCTTTCTCCACTGTTTACGTTCATTTAAGACATGAAAATACTTGCCGAGATAGTTATTTTGAGATAATTTTGCTGCATGCGTAAGACTTAGAAACACGTGTAAATGATAAACTATGATCCGTTTCACCCATACAAGCCAGTGAACAACGCGAATCAAGAAAGGGATTTTATATCACTATTCAAGATAGCGTCGGGCAGGGCAGTGATACATTTTGGTAGCCTGACTGGAAAACACAATAGCCCCGGGACGTCGGGCTAGCGATTTTGCGAGCCCTGATGTGTATATGAATGTGACACGCTTGACCCTATATTTGTTCATCCTTTTGTTTAAAACTGCAAAAAATAGGTTTCCCAAACTCTCCTCGTTACTATTTTATTTCTCTTTATTTTATCTGAATGCAGTAGTTGACCTGTTTGGAACAGAAATGGTGACCCTGGACATGGACACTGAAGATGAAGTTTACCCTCCAGAGCATTTCCTAATATCCCAATGGTAACACTTCTTTTTCAGATCTATTTGCTATTATTACATAACTTTTATTATATTAGTGTCAAATTACCTGTAACTGCTGTATTGCAAAAGTACTCTAAAACAATGTATAAATAGCTATTTGGCTTTTGATCAAATTTTTCTCACACTCACAGCCTAGATACCATCAATGCATACCAGAGCTGCATACAAAGCATGTGAGTTTACATAATATTAAAAAGATTTTTAACAGTAAGCATACATTTAGTATAAAACATTAAAAAATTTCTACTATATTGTGTGTATATATAATATATCAATACACTACTGGTAAAAAGTTTGGGGTCAGTCCATTTTTTTTTTTTGAGAGAGAGAGAGAAAGAAGTAAATGCTTTTATTCAGCAAGAATGCATTAAATTGATAAAAAGTAGCAGTTAAAACAATTATATTGTCACCAAAAAACGTTTCAAATTGTAAATGCTGTTTTTTAACTTTCTATTCATCAAAAAGTCTTAAAAATGATCTGTTTTAAGAAAAATACTAAGCAGTATGACTGTTTTCAACATTGATAATAATACGAAATGTTTCTTGATCAGCAAATCAGCAAATTAGAATGATTTCTGAATGATAATGTGACACTGAAGACTGGAGTTATAATAGTTGAATATTATTAAGTTATTTTAAATTGTAAGAATAGTTCACAATATTACTGTTTTTACTTTATTTTTGATCAAATAAATTCAGCCTTGGTGAGCCAAAGAGACTTCTGTTGTGGCAAAATAAAAATGACTCTCACCGCATAAGAGACAAACTCGCTCAATTGTCTTTTTCAAAGGTTTTATTTCTTGCAAGGAAGCTCAGACTGTCATACAGAAACACAAGTTGCTGCAGAGTGCGACAAAGAAGGGAGGGTTTCCTCCACCTTTATATCTCTTCCCTAGCCTTCAAGCTTACATCTCTTAACAACTGTACTTTTCCACACATTTTAATAGTCAAAAACAAATTCCACTATATCATACTTCTAAGACTCGGACCCTCATATTTTAGAGAGATGTCATAGACAGGCGTCTTTGGGTCTCCCAGTTGTTCCCCACATGCCAAACTTAGATCTGTACTGGCCCCTTGTCACCCCATACATCTTATTCTTTATGCCCCAAACCATATCTCATTCTGACTGCAAAGCAGTTCTATGTAAAGCAGGCATTGCACAATATTCCTTAAGCATATGAATGAAATCATGCAAAATCATTAAAAAAAAAATTTATTTCCTTCCACAATTTCCCCCTTTTTATCATTAATTGATAACTGATTAGTAACTTCATTACAATGTAGAAAACTCTTAATCGTTTACCAGGGTTAAATGTATATTTTCTCAAACACAAAATAATAATAATAAAGCAAATTTAAGTCATTACATCACATTTATACTCTTCATCTCTGATTTTCGTATAAACGATCACTCTCTTAAATTTGTGAAAGAAGTAAGTAAAAAACCCCTCGGGCTGTTTTTGTGGGGACACACCCTAATATACGCAAGCAAAAATATTATAGATATAGATGGGCTAACAACTGGGCCTAACGCCCTATGTTTCAAATACAAAGTATTGTCTTCTTAACTCATTTAACGCATTTCACTATAACTCCCACTACTGGTCGTGTCTCCATCTACCGTTTGCTCATCTTCACACATGTCTAAAAACATGTCATCAGGATAAGCAGGCATTTTAACCATTTGATGTGATACACTAGACTTCACCAGTCTCTGTACTGACCTGGATGCACACTGAAAAATACATGGTAAACACAACAACACCAGTAATCCTGCCTCCACAATTGGTAACAGTATTACACAGCCAGTATCCCCATCCTCCCCACAGGTTTGCCAACCATTCAAGCCATAAATTGTTTGCTCGTTCAGGCTCTTTTAAGGCCATTCTCATGTGAGCAATGATGTTGTTAATGTTCTCACTGTAATCTGGAATATAGAAACAACATGACATCCTCCGGTCTGCCAGACATTTTCATATCGCTGATCTCGTTCCATTACGACATGTGACGTGCAATGCAAATTGTCAGGCAACATCATTTCTGTGTTAAATGGCTTGGTTTGATTCTTAGCCAGTTCACACATCATCTGAGCCCAATCATTGTTTATTATGCGCCATTCATCTGCCCACTGAGGCTCTGCTTGCAGACAGCACAATTGCTGCTCCTCTGTCACTCTGACAACCGAGGAGTCTGCAACGAGCGTCAAATTTAGTTTACACATCAAATCTCGACCCATAAGGGGTGCAGGGCATGCTGGTTAATAAATGAATGCATGTTTCAGCACTTGGCCCCCCTCTGTTTCACAATTTAAGAGCACTGTAAATCTTTCAGAAATTTGATGCCTTGATGCATAGATAGACTCATTTGTTTTGTTTGTTAATGACGGTAGACACGGCAAGTCACATGGTCGTAAAGAAGACCTCGTTGCCCCAGAATCTACTAAAAATGGAACTATTATTCCCTCCACTAGCATGGGGTACCTAGGCATGTTTAAAAATCCTTTCGTACATCATTAAAATTGATCAGAAACATCATTCAAATCAGAAACACACAAAGAAATGCAAGCTTTTTCTTCATTGCAGAGAGTAGTGTGTACATCAGTGTATGTGTGTGGTTAAAAAAAATTTCACTTCCCTGCGTTGTAGCTGTTGGCTGCTCGCCCAGGACCCCTCCTTCCTGCTCTCTGTCTTCCTCGCTTCAGTCTGCTTCCTGATTTTGCTGGTTTTCTGGGCACTCCCGGGCCCAATGACCATCTCTCTTGCACAGTTTGCACTTGGTACATTTTCTGGCCACATGATCATCAGCTCCACAGACCCAGCAACCCCGTTTCTCTGAATTTCCTTCAGCCCTGTTCGAGTATCTTCCACCTCGTCCTCTTCCTCTTTCCCTTCCCGTCTGCTGAGGTGGGGGCACAGAAGAACCCCCAGGCCTTGATACAGCTTTCACAAAGGCCAGCTGTAACTCTCTGTCACTCTTGGCTTTGGTCTTTTCCTTCTTCACTGCTTGCTGTTCTTCCGAGTGCAAAGCATGTGCTAAGATAGCAGATAATTGTCCATTCTTCCATTCAATGTAGCTGGATTTCACTGCTTGCGCAATTTCTGGTCTCAGTCCATTCAGGAACCAGCTCCGCAAATGACACTCCCAGGTGTCATGTTGATTTCCTTTGTCGTCGGGCTCTGTTAAGCCGCTGTGTTTGTTGAATATCTCGTAGAGTCGATGGTAATAATCTTGAACAGACTCTTCTCTGGTCTGGCAGCAGTTGCCAATCTTTGCTGAATCCAAATGCGCTGGGAATGCTATCTTTATGGCTCCAGCCAGCTCTGTGACAGCCGTGTGGTACTCCACATTAGCCCTGTGTTCCCAGTCACTGTGTTCTCTCTGACAATCTTCCCTTCGCAGCTTTCCACTCACTTTATGCCAACTTGAAGCCACCAGTTTCACTGCCAGCAGCCTTCTCAGTTCGTGCACGGTGGGGCTGAACTCCTGGCAGAACGTGACCAGTTCAGCAGAAAATTTGTCACCTGCTTCATCAGGACTTGGCAAATGGGCCATTGCTTCTTTCATATCATTCACAGTCCATGGTCTAAAAACCATCATTAGCCCATCAGGCCCCGAAACTTCTATCATCGGGGGACATTTTCTTACATTTTCTTCTTTTATTGTTTGTCTTTTCTTTGATGGGGGAACTCTGCGTACCCCCTCCTCTTTAGCTTCTTCGTTGGGGTTCTCAGGAATTATGTCAGGGTCTTCATCTGCTTCTTGCCTCTACACTGCTTCTGCCCATGGTGCTGTTGGTCTTCTCGGTGGAGAGCAGTCGAGGTCAGGGTTCAATTTCAGGGGTTGCAGCTCAGCCACGGGATAGTGAGGATACGTTGGTGGTGCATGTGAAGAGACAGAGACATCAGAGGGGTTAGTCAGTTTATTTGGCGCACATTACTTTTTCTTCACATTTTTCATTTTTCCTTCCCCTCTCATTTCTACATGCCAATTCTTTCTGCATCGCCCTTCTTTCCCTCTTATCTGCCTCCTCTATCCAACAATTCACCGTCTGCTCACATTTCCCACACGTGTGTTTCACACAACACCCTTTCTGCTTTTTTCTTCCCTCTTCAACTGATTCCTTCACAACATTCAATCTTGTGACACTCAATGTTCCCTCTCTCGGAAAATCATGGTACTTGATTAACTTCACTATATCTTGCATGCATTTTTGGCCATATAATTTTCTCATTTGACAGAAAACCGGTGTATCATATTTGGCAAGCTTGCTCTGGGACTTCCCCATATTGGCTGTCTCTTTCTCTGTGGATTTCTTTTCGGCACCTAAATAATCTGTTGGACGTCTCCAACAGATCCGCCCTTTCACCTAAAATCGGATAGGCAGAGCACTCCCCGTGCTCCAATTAATCACCCACACAGTTTCAATTTCTCCCTAGAAACGTATTAACTGTGCTATATTCGCCCACGTGATCTCAATTTCTCTCAGAACAATCTTAATCACGCTGCATTACCACAGAGTCAGACCAGCCACTATGGTTTATCCCCCTTTTCTTAATTTCAATCTTAATTTCAAAATCCTAATTCTCTATAAGATTTTGATTGGTCTCTTACCAGAGAGATATGATGCCACCTGGGTTCGTTTATTGATTCCAGTGGTGTCCCCTTCCGGGCCCTGGCGGTCGGTCCCTCGTCCCTCAATCTGTTCGGGGTAGGGCTGTGATTCTAAGTCCAGGATGTACAGTCACCGTCCGCTCTCGGGTCCAAAAGGCACATCCAAGGAATCCCAACTTCTGACACCATAAAAATGACTCTCACCGCATAAGAGACAAACTCGCTGAATTGTCTTTTTCAAAGGTTTTATTTCTTGCAAGGAAGCTCAGACAGTCATACAGAAACACAAGTTGCGACAAAGAAGGGAGCGTTTCCTCCACCTTTATATCTCTTCCCTAGCCTTCAAGCTTACATCTCTTAACAACTGTACTTTTCCACACATGGTAATAGTCCAAAACACATTCCACTATATCATACTTCTAAGACTCGGACCCTCATATTTTAGAGACATGGTAACCTTCTATGTCATATACAGGCATCTTTGGGTCTCCCAGTTGTTCCCCACAAGCCAAACTTATGGCGCTTTTCCACTGCATGGTACGGCACGGTATGGCTTGGTACCTTGATGGGGGCTACGCGGAATGAAAAAGTTTTTTTTAGGAGTCGTGGTAGTAGAGGCGGCGCAACTATAACGACATGTGAATAATCCCGCCCACTCTAAAGCGGTACTGAACTGCAGTGGAAACGCAAACCGTGCCGTGCCGTACTGAGCCGAGTCGTACCACGCAGTGGAAAAGCTCCATTAGATCTGTACTGTCCCCTTGTCACCCTATACATCTTATTCTTTAAGCCCCAAACCATATCTCATTCTGACTGCAAAGCAGTTCTAAGTAAAGCAGGCATTACACAATGTTCCATAAGCATATGAATGAAATCATGCAAAATCAATAAAATGATTTTTTTTTTTCTTCCACAATTCTTTCAAACGCATTTAAACAACCTTACCATCCACAAACAACTGAAAAGGAGAGTATTTCATTTTCACTTCTGTCTTTCAAGTAATTCTGTTTAGGATTATGTTCTGTCTCTCTACCACAGGCTTATGAACGGAACAGATTTGATATGGAGGGTTTTCATTATTTATAGTTGTGTTAAGTGTACTCTCTCGTGCTCTCTCTTTCTCTCTCACACACAGAATGTTGGCTGTCTCTGAAAGGGAAATTCAAAATAAAAGTGAAAAAGGCTAAATGAAAGAGAGATGTGCATGGAAGTGAAGCTACACTCTAAAAAATGCTGGGTTGTTTCAACCCAATTTTGGGTCAAATATGGACTAACCCAACTGTTGGGTTAAATTTTAGTTACATTTTTAAATTAACTTTTTAACCCAACATTTGGGTTAGTCCATATTTGACCCAAAATTGGGTCGAAACAACCCAGCATTTTTTAGTGTATAACAAGAGAAAGAGAAACTTAATTATAAAGCAGACGAGAGAGACAGAAACGGGCAGATATGTGTATTTAATTATAGTGTGTGATTTGTTGTTTGCTATGATATTCTGCTTGCTTCTTCCTACTTCTTCATGTCTCTCATAGTAACTGCAGCATGTGTGCACAGCGCTGGACTCTGGGGCTGAATTTTATGGATCACTTCCACAGTTCTGGAACCTAAAACATCAACAGCAGAATGGGCTGACAGGTGGCTGAATCCAACACACATACAGTCATGACACACAAACAAACACATGCAAGCCTGCACAAGATAGCATATAGCATGTAAGCAGAAATGTGGGTGGAATTATGGGAACTTAAGTTTTAACTACTTTCTCTTAGTTTCTCATTTATTTTCTGACCTTTAACCTTGTTAGAAATCAAAGGATCAAATTAATCACATTCAAATGTTGTTTTACTTTCAAGATTGTATGACTTGTCAATGAAATTCTGACAAATGTTTTAACTTTTTTTTTTTTTTTTTGCATTGAAATGCAATATAAGTACTTTTTTTTTTTTTTTATTAAAACAATTCAAAATGTATTTATTTTTTTTGTTTTTATTTATTTATTTTTTTTTTTTTTTTGTCAACAATGAAGGCGAGACATGGCGAATAATGATGATAATTAAATGATTGCATTTAAAACATATTGTTGACACAAATATGATGAGAAAAATACAATGACAAGGTAATTACTAAGGCACTAACAATGTTTTTTTTTTTTTGTAGAAAAATCTAGAAAAAAGGATTGACTCAAAAAATCCACTATAAGTGAGCATAGCACAAACAATGATTCAATACTTAAGTGTAATTTTAAGCTAATTTTGACTACAATTAGATCCAAAAGAAATTGGTCCAAAAGTTTGGGGTTGGTAAGACTTTTATGCTCACAAACGGTTGCATTTATTTTATATTGTGGAATATTGATGTTATTGAAAATAACTGTTTTCTATTTTTAAATATATTTTAAAATGTTATTTATTCCTGTGATGCAAAGCAGAATTTTCAGCATTCAATACTCCAGTCTTCAGTGTCACTTGATCCTTCAGAAATCATGTTGATTTGGTGCTCAAGAAACATTCATTATTATTATCAATTTTTAAAACAGTTGTTAATTATTAACTTAATTTTATATAATTTGTGTGTGTGTGGATCCTTCAGAAATCATGTTGATTTGGTGCTCAAGAAACATTCATTATTATTATCAATTTTTAAAACAGTTGTTAATTATTAACTTAATTTTATAATTTGTGTGTGTGTGTGTGTGTGTGTGAGAGAGAGAGAGAGAGAGAGAGAGAGAGATTTGGACGGCTGCTCTCTACTGCCTCCTGCTGTCCTGTGTTGTTTGGGGTAGAGACATGAAGGTCTAAACTAAACAAATTCATAAAGGTTTTTGAAAAGGTGAGCTGCTTTGTTGGGTTTTGTGTGTATGTGTGCAACCAGAGAGACACAATGACATTAAGGAGAGTGAATTAAACTATTACCATGCATTTAATTTTAAACACCCTGACCATGAAAAACACAAATTAAGCACCTAACACAAGCACCTGGTCTTACCAGGCAGAGATTCTATAATTACGCAAATGTGTCTGCTGAATATAGAATGTCCTTCATGCCTATCTGAGCCCAAAAACTCAGAGCCACAGTGTGTGTGTGTGTCTGTGTGTGTGTCTGTGTGTGTGGTAATGTTTTTCCTGCAGAAGTGCTAATGTATTTTCTGTGTCTTTTTTCAATGGCTATTTTAGTGAAGGTTTCGTCTTCACTGTGTTTCATCTGAGAGTGCGTGAGGTGTGTCTGGATGTGTGTGTTGTATGGATTCTTTCAGCATCCCTTTTTCCTAGTCTTCTCAGTCACTTATTCACCAGACGGCCTGATGGAGGAGGAGAGAGCGGCAGACAAAGAGAGAGAGGTGTGTGTCATATCAATGATGTCTTTCTTAGCACTGAGCCATGATCTCTGCCAATAATTGCTGTAATCAAGATGCTTTAACACGCACAGGTGTGTGAAGTGAATTTGAGAAAAATTAGTGGATCGTTCCACTCCGTAGTTCCCTATAATGTGAATCAATGAACATGAATTCATGCATTAGCAAGGGCCTTTGAAACATAGGGACACTGATGACTCAATTACCTGCGCCACATTTAAAAGGTAGCACAAGATTATGCTGATATTTTATCAGCTGTTATATATCAAAATTGATGTATAAAACTGCGTTTACAGTAGACTTTGTCCTTAATTCACTTGCAGTCATACATACGGTATATGCATATGTGTGATACTGGAAACGTGAGCACATGTGTTTAAAGTTTTGTCTTTAGTTCCCAAATCAAGTTTGGTGATTTCTAACCTGGACATTTGATAGAATAGAGCTTCTACTGTAAACATAACCGATTAACCTCTGCATAAACTTAAAAGCTGCAGGGTTTTATGTAATTTCACATGCTCGAAGCCTAGTTTGACCGCAACTTAAAGGGATAGTTCACCCAAAATGAAAATTTGGTCATCATTTACTCACTTCCAAACCTGTATGACTTTAATTTTTTTCTATGAGAAATGTCTTAGTGTTTATATATCAATGGTTTGGACTTGCGTGTTTTGCAGAAGATCATAAAAGAACAACATGAGGGTGAATAAAAGTTATTGTTTTTGGGTGAACATTGTAATTGTTGTTTACTACAGAGCCTTATGGAATATAAGATATACAGATGTATTGGAAAAATGATTTATGAAATTAATTTTGCTTTTATTCTAAAAATGCTGAATGTTGTCCTCATTTAGATGGCTATTGGTAAATGTCTATGTGTAGAGGTAAGATGATAATAAAATGGATATTGAGATATACAGTAAAACATTAATATTGTTTAATATGATTACAATTTAAAATAAAGTGTTTTCTGTTTTATTATATTAACAGATTTGTTTAGTGTTTTTGAAAGAAGTCTCACTGAGAAATACAGTAATGTTATTACAATTTAAAATAATGTTTTTCTATTTGAATATATTTTAAATGTAATTTATTCCTGTAATGGCAAAGCTGAGTTCTCCATTACTCCAGTCTTCAGTGTCACATGATACATCATTCTAATATGCTAATATGCAGATTTTACGATAAAAGCCATGATGATGACCTGTTCTCAACTGATTCACATTTAACTAAACTGAGAGAGATTGATAAAAAGAGATCTGACTCTAGTGCCTCAATGGGATCGTCTCAAATGTCACACTTTAATTGGAAAACAAACCCACATGAACTGGCAAAATGTACAAATAGGCATTCACACACAGGCTTTGGTCTATAACAGGATAGTAGCAGCATTCACAGACGTTTCCATGCATAAGTTTTATTTGATTCCTCGCCAAACATGTGATGCTTTTATACAACGCTTGGACAAACACTCAAATGACGTTCTGTCTTCATTCATGTCTTCACCAGTTCCTCCAATCAAATCATTAGCAGTATAATCAGCCCGCTTACATCACTCATCCTGACAGTAACCCCCCTCCTCCACAACACACAAACCGTATTCAAATGCATAGCGACGCTGTCATATACAGCAAGACGTGTATGTCACTCCTCATGTTTTGTTCACGACTCATGTATTGTATTTACAATAGTGAGTGAGTCCTTAACAATAAATTTTTTCATCAGTCCTCATCTGACAAACATAGACCATGACTTTAGCTCTGCATGTGAGTATATGTGGAATCTCTAGTGTGACATACAATACAGTTCAAATGATTGGGGGCAGTAAGTGTTTTTTTTATTATTATTGAGAGAAGTCATTTTTATTTTTATTCAACAAGGTTGCATAAAATTGATCAAAAGTAAAAGTAAGGACTTTTACATTATTACAAAATATTTAAATAAATAAAAAAAGTATTACAGTTTCCACAAAAATATGAATCAACAAAACCATTTTCAACACTGATAATAATACGAAATGTTTTTATGAGAAGTAAATCAGCATATTAGAATGATTTCTGAAGTATCATGTGACACTTAAGACTGGAGTAATGGCTGCTGAAAATTTTGCTTTGCATCACAGGAATAAATAAATTGCTTAAAATTGGAAAGAGGTATTTACAATTTTAATAATATTTCACAATATTACTCTTTTTACTGTTGATCGAATAAATGCAGCCTTTGGTGAGCATACGATGCAGCCTTAAAAAAATCTTGCCATCCCTACATTTTTTAACGGTAGTGTACAGCATGTACTTGTTTATGTGACCAAGTAATTGGTCTAAATAAAGATAAATCAGACACTGTTTTGATGGTGACTTGATGCTGGACCAGCAGAAACTTCAGAAGAACATTAATGGAATGACAAATTCTGTCAACATTTACTCACCCTCATGTCATTCCAAACCTTTATGACTTTGTTTCGTCTGTGGAACATGGAGCATATTCAAACTCGGCACATGAAGACACCAATTTGACACCAGTAATGCCAAACACCACCGGTCTCATAAAACTGATCACAGCATGCCATATTTGAATATACGTGTGTATTCATTTCTGTTCCTCCAAACAAAAGCTATCATTAGGCTTCAGAAAACTTGGAATATGGCACATGAGCAGTTTGCACTAGTTTCATCATATACTTTTGTGGTGCTTTTGTCCTCTTTGGAGCTTGGATCATTGCCTACCACAGCATGTTTTCATTGTAGGGTAAAGCATCAACATTCTGGTAAACTTCTTCATTTATGTTCCACATGCAGAAGAAAAGTTTGGAACAACGTGAGTAAATTTTTATTTTTGGGTGAACTGTTCCATAATGAGTCATGGTTTTATCGAACTCATTGTGGACCACATTCAGTGCAACACCAGAACTGTTAGACCACTAGGACCCCCAGTTATTATTTAGTCATCTAAGCATGCATTTTGCCAAATCACCCTTGTCATTAAAGTTGGATGATGGCTCTGCCATTAGGGGTTATAGGAGCTGGAGGGGGGTTTGCAGGACCATGATCCGACTCTGTTTTTAGGTAGTGTGCACTTAAATCACTAATTGTGTGTTTCTATGAACTGAATGAGTGTAACAGCGGGGTGATGCGGATGCCCAGAGCAGCCGGTGAGCGCGCGCGGCTCTGCCTCCAAGAGTTTCCTGTGGCAGTTTATCATCCTTCTTTTTCCAGAGCAAGCAGAAAAAGTGAAGAAGTGAGCAAAGCATTAAGAAACTGGGGGTCGTATGGTACAAGCCCACAGCCGTTAAAAAAAGAGCCGGCAGCGCGAGCGTGGGACGCGATGAGTCACTCGCAAGGGGCTGTCGGCCCGCTTTGATCAGCCCCGGTTGGGGTCTCGAGCTGTAAAATATTTGAAAAAGACGAATAGCCGATGAGTCATGCTAACGGCGCTTGAGCTAAGTATGTTATATTGCTCAAAATATCCTGATAAATTCGATAAAAATGATAAAAGCGAATTGCAATATAACTTTAATAGCTGATATTTGAGTTTTTAGGTTTTTGTTTTACCACCATTTTTACTTGGAAAAGAGAATGGGGACAATTAGGAACAAAAATAAACAACATCAAAATGTAAATAGAAATAAATAAACAATGCATAATGCAACTTACGAAAAGTATAGCTTAAAAAAGTGAAACTAATGGACAAAGAACATTTTGTCTGCTTGTTAGTTTTTAATGAGTGAAAATTGGCACAAAGAAATGTCGTTAATGTCCAATTCTATTGTTTTCTGTAATGATTCCAGTAATTAAAGGGTCCCAAATCTGAAGGCTGAAGCAGAAAAGACCGTTTTTGTTTTGGAAGCATTTAGAAGGATGCATCTAGTTTTGTTAAGCGATATTGAGATGTTTTTCAAATGTGTCAGACCAAAAAGGGTTTTGTGAATAAATGCATGAAGTTCTGACTATCTGTGCAAAGAGGAGCCATTTATATTCGAGATTTTTATTTTATTATTTTATTATTATTATTATTTATATCTATATTATTAATAATAAATGAATAATAATTTTAGTGTAGATTTTTGGCTTTGGTTAAATTGACCTATTTGCTGTTTTTGAAAGCAGACATAAATTATGTTCTTAAATGCGTTGTGTTCCCCCACTGTCCCGACTGCGCGCGCTCCTCTGCGGTGCAAACAAAAGCTGCGCGCGGGGAGGCAAAAGAGGCAAGGAGCTCGTGACGTCGGGAAGACTCACACACACACACACACACACACACTCCTCTCTCTTTCGCTCAGTGTAAATACCATCTCCACCAGATGAGTGCGGACGCACTGAACGCTTCTGTATAACATCACAGAAGCCTTCAGTATCTTTACTGACTGATACAAACGTTTCTGTTTGTTTTATGTGATATTATTCTTGGATTTCAGCACTCCATTATCCTTCGCGACCGGTTCTGCTACCCCAAAACTACCGAAGAGGAAGGTCTTCCCAACACCCCTCCAACCCTAAACCTCACCTCTGGATATGACAAAGATTCCTGGAGACAGTTCCTGAGCGGAAAACATATCACAGAAGACCCACATATTGTAAAAGGCTCGACTGTGCCGCGCGAGGGGCGGAATGGCGTTGTGGAAAGGACTCTTTAAGATTCTTGTATGTGCACCCTGGTTGCGATAAAGAGAAAAGAGCCACAACAAGACCTTCTGCAGCAGCACAAAGGATAATACACGCAGACAACGGGGGGCATTTTCTTCGTCAGACCGCGTTAAGATGCGCTGTTTTTCAGCACGCGAGCGGGCGCATGCCATGCTGTAGCGCTGCGTACTCAAATGGCACGAGCCAGCGCGACCGAATCGCTTTGACGTTCGCGGAGTACAAGACGTATGATGATGAGCGGCAGCTGCCGTGGGACCAGTCTGCTTGTCCCGATGCGTTCTCCACTCTCTGTCCGGTTCGCCTTCACTCTTCCTCGCACACACCTGCACGTCTTCGCTGTCTCTGTTCTGGGAACGCACGTAGGTAAATAGAACCGCGTCAGGCGTGGGAACAATGGAGTTGTCTGAGGTTCGCTGTTCCAGCGCCAGCGAGGAGCTGCACACCATCAACAAAACCCCCAGCAACAACGGGAACCGACCGAAGCGCCTGCTGTGGCAGAATGCCGTGCGACACATCACCGAGCAGCGATTCATTCACGAGCACAGCCCGAAACCCGTCTCACCGGACGAGCCTCACGCGCAGGGCTCGCGCAAACAATCCGCCGGCAGGACGTCGGTGAGCGACCGGCAAAACAACGGCGGCACTAAAGTCTTCCCCGAGCGCTCGAGCAGCGACCTGGGTTTCCTGCAGATCGACTGCGCGCCCAGCAACTCCGACTTCTTCCTGAGCTGGGGCTACACGTACCGCGGGGTCATCTTCCCCACGCTGCGCTACGCCTTCAAGTCCAGGGACCTCGAGCGCCTGTACCAGCGCTACTTCCTGGGCCAGCGACGGAAGTCGGTGGTGGTCATGAACATTCTGGACATGGTGACCAAGCTGACCCTGCTCGTGCTGCACCTGACCCTGGCGTCCACTCCGATGGACCCGATCAAAGGAATGCTGCTCGGCTTCTTCACGGGCATCGAGGTGGTCATCTGCGCTCTGGTGGTGGTGCGCAAAGACACGAGCTCGCACGGATACCTGCAGTACAGCGGTGCGGTGACCTGGGTCGCCATGGCCACACAGATCCTCGCGACGGGACTGGGCTACGGCTTGCTCGGGGATGGGATAGGGTACGTGCTCTTCACGCTCTTTGCCACCTACAGCATGCTGCCGCTGCCTCTCACCTGGGCCATCGTGGCGGGACTGCTGACCTCCGCGCTGCACATCGCGATCCAGCTGCTGGTGCCCCCTCGAGCGCAGATCTCCACGAATCAGGTGAGACAGAGAAATGTGCAATATTACATCATGCCGAGTTTGGATGCATTTATGCGGGTGCAACACTGGATGTTTTCAGTGCTCGAGGCATTTAACCAAAGCGCAACGGTCGCTGTCCATCCAATGTGGTGCTGAAAGTGACATTTTAAGGTCGTTCGTCGCAGACTGCGTCGTACTGTTCTGTCTGATATTGATGGCTTGCTTTTGCGGTCCAAATTTTATAGAGGTCAATAAAGGTCAAGAACAGCTCCTAAATGCGGCAAAGCAGTCATATTAGAGCACTGTGGTCAGTTACACATTTCAATAACATCTGAGGAGAGCTTGAGCATTGTGAGCTTTCCCAATATATTTATAAAGACATATTGCAAAAAAAATTGTGTATATTTACGAAAACAAATAAAAATAACAAAAATATAAGATAATTCAAGGGATTATTCACCCAAAATGAAAATGCTGCCATCATTTACTGTATGACTATCTTTTGTGTAACACAAAAGAAGATATTTCGAAAAATGTAGGGGGTTTGTTGTCCATATGAAAGTCAATGGGGTTTAAAGTTGTTGGACACCAGTGTTCAAAATATCTTCTTTTGTGTTCCACAGAAGAAGAGTCATACAGGTTTTGAACATGATTTAAATTTTTTTTTAGGTCAACTATCACTTATAAATTGCATTTAATTGGATTGACATGGTTGCATACATGTCTGTATACAGTCCAACAAAGCCTCTTTTTCTCTGTCAGACGCTGAAAGATTCTAAATGACAAGATGACCTGAGGTCATGCTACTCGACGTGATCATATCACATTTAAATTGAGTCATAGTGGCACTACAGTTATTTTGTGGCGTTCACCTGCACACACAGTAAAAACACAAACAAGTAAATGTGCTGGACACAAAAACAAGCGCACAGGCACACGCAACAGTGAAGAGGCAGGAAGCCGTGTGAGTTAATTATAGTGTGCAATGATTTTTCACTGTGATCACAGCAAAGAGGCAGACAGACAGAGTTGTTTGGTGTCCTTTCACACACAGATTCAGGCCAGATCCAGATGTCTATATGCAGATTCAGGTCAAAATAGTCAAACTCAGCCAAGCAGACCCAAAAATGTGTGTGTTGAATTTGTCAAAGTGGTCGAAGATGCTGTGAGGTAGACTGTAAAAATAGCAAGCGTGGGAGGGAGATATGGAGAAGGGCTCTCTGACTCACACGCTTGTCTGCCAGCATCACTTCGTCTCCCATCTCTGTTTCCCTCTCCTTCGCTTATACTGTAGGACACACTCACACACTTCCTCAGACCTGACCACACACCTGCTTCGGTGTTTAGCGCTACGTATGTAGAATGTCATCAGTGACTGGGTAAGATGGACGTCAGTTTGTATGCGCTTGCATTCTTGTTCTCTCTCTGGGTTTATGGAAACTCCTGCAGGGTCTCCATCAATCATTTATAAGACACTTCACAAACTCCACCAGACTAGTGTGAGAGTGTTGTGTGCAGTTGGAAGGATTGTCGATAGACAAAGTGCAGGGTGATGATGTGGGTCATAAGAGTAATTTCCTGCTTTCAGTACGAGAGGTTGGGAGTTCAAATCTTGACTGGCAATAGATGCACCCACACATACATATACATCCACTAAAAATGCCCTTGAGAGCAATTGGTTAAAAATAATTAAAAACATCTCAGAAAAGTGACGTTAGTTCAGAGAAAAGCTCCAGCATCATTTGTTTGCAGATATGACTTGGTTTAATATTTTGTATCTAATGCAATGAAATGCAGACTTTTTGAAGTGTGACATAAGGGTCCAAAATGTATATGCAAATACTTTTTTACATAACTATGTAAGTAAAGGTACCGTCTTTTGGTGCATTTTGTTTTGTGGAACAGAAAGTAACCGAGAAGTAGAGCACTGTTTGTGGGGGCAGCGCTCTGTGCCAAACATTGCTGCCCTACATATGCCATGGTCTGCCATTTGACTTGAAGGAAAGATGGCACTTAATATAACAAAGTTTAGTTTAAGACAACTATCTTCAGACAACTTGCTGCAGCTGCTGATTTCAGCAAACATGTAGAGAGATCACAGATTTTTAAGGAGGCTGAATTCAGTGCAAATTAAAAAGAAAAATTATAAATAAAATAAATGGGGTCTAGCAAAGCCTATGACACAGTATCCAGTTACTTGCAGAAACCTTACTTTATGTGTAGAGCAGGCACACACAGAACACATTTATGGACCTTTTTGCTCGTGGAGATTTTCACACATGCACAGAGATCAATAACAGCAGGCTGCCTGGTCAGTTAAATGTTTTTATGTCTGAGTGATTAATAATGTATTTTTCAATCTACTTGATCGCTGACACTGTAGACGGTCCTGCCGTGTAATCAAAACCTTCAGAACAATCAGTTGCTGTTATCATTGATAGTGTAAAGTTGTCCTGAGATTAGTATTACAGTGTAGAGGGCAACATGGACATGATTAGTAGGTAACGGTCCAATGCATCAGGTTTGATTAGGGAAAACAGACTGTTTCACATCAAAATAAATATGACATCTACTCTGACAAAAGTTTTGCAAGACACAAGAAGACAGGACAATTACAGTCATTAAAAATAGATTGAGATTAACCCTGACCACATCAGTGAAAAGTGTTGGGAATGAAATATGTAAAAGTGCTCTAGGTAAGCAGTTATAGGTACAACGATTCTTTTGTATAGCACTTAAAGGTCTCGGCTGTCAGAGTAAGAGGTTGTGGGGTTTAAAAGAATAGTTCATCCAAAAATGAAAATTTGCTATAAGTTTACTCACACTCACCTTGCATCTAAGATGAGTGCTTTTTCATCAGAACAGATTTGGAGAAATGTAGCATTACATCACTTGCTCACCAATGGATGCTCTGCAGTGAATGGGTGCTGTCAGAATGAGAGTCCAAACAACTGATAAAAACATGATTCCAGTATATTAATTAATGTCTTATGAAACAAAAAGCTGTGTGTTTGTAATAAATAAATCCATTATTAAGACATGTTTAACTTACAATCGTTGCTTCATTGCAAAAATATGAAATCCATAATTCATTATATTCATAATATTGCTTTTTCCAGTTAAAATGTCATCTCATCTGTATCAGGAGAGAAATATGTACAGATAAAGCACTGTTTACAAGTGGAAACAGTTCTAAACAAGTGTGTCAGTGGAATTTGATGTGAGATGACAACAGGGGCTGGACTTTGTTTGCTGGAGGATGCAATATTATGGATTATGGACTCGTATTTTGTCTAGAAGTGAAAGTTTAAAGTTAAAATGCCTTGATGCATTTGTTTCTTACAAACACACAGCTTATCACTTAACAAGACGTTAATTGATGAACTGGAGTCGTGTGGATTACTTATGGATTATTGTGTTGTTTTTATCAGCTGTTTGGACTCTCATTCTGACGGCACCCATTCACTGCAGAGGATCCATTGGTGAGCAAGTGATGTAATGGTAAATTTCTCCAAATCTGTTTCGATGAAGTAACAAACTGATCTACATCTTGGATGGCCTGAGGGTGAGCAAACTTTCAGCAAATTTTCCTTTTTGGGTGAACTGTTCCTTTAATATCATAGCTGCCAAGAGGTACAGCAAGCAACACTGAAAATACAGTTATTCCCACAGTGCATCTGCTATAGCTAATATGCTCCATAGAGACTGGCTGCAGTAGCAGTACATCACTTAAAAAAAAAAAATGTCAGATTTCAATTTCAAAGTTAATCAATTTGGCATTATAATGTTTCTGCTCACCAGCTGAATTATCAGTGGACAGCAGCCCATCTATGGAAAAATCTCAGAGGCAGCATTTTACAACTGTAATCAACCCCAGTAATTAAATGAAGTGTTAATTAAATCTCAGTTCGGCTCCTCAGCGTGGTGAAGACTCTCTGGCTGGAGCGCAATGTTGATATTAACAGTTTCATTAGATCTGTTGGTCTACGAGCCACTATGCAGTAGTTATTTTGATTTTTTTTTTATAATTTGCTGCAGTCAATGGGAGTCAATCACTCTTAACGATTTCTGCTGCATGCTGATGGATATCACTGTACCTTGCTGAGATAATTATGGTGTTAAAGACTATAGTTGAAGTGCACTGTGTTTGTGTGTGCGTGTCTGGTTTGAAGTATTAATTTAGAAGTCAGTGATTTAACTGTACAGTCAGATTTGTTGTGTTAATTCTCCTGCTGTGTTTAGCTGATGGACACACACACACTGTATGAAATGTACACACTCAAAAAAAATATTTTTTGATGCTGATCACTTTAAACAATTCATTTTGATTTAACACCATGTATCAGGTTTGTCATTCAAACGTGACTGCATCTTAAACTGACTTGAAATGGTTGCTGTTTGGCTTAACTCGATGTTTTCATTTTGAAAGAACATGTTTCAATCAAGTACCTCAAAATAAGTTTTACACTTCCCATCATGCTTTGCACAGGACTGGATATGGGGAGAGAAAATGTTGAAATAAAGTGTTATTTTATGCATTTTTTAGTAAAATGTGATTATAGGGAGACTTTTTCATGTCTAATGCTCTATTATGTTGGCATTTTAAAAGACTTTCTATTGGTGTATTTTGTGCGAGTTGCCATTGTGGTGAAGTGTGGAGCATGTGGTTGGTCAGGGTGACCGTGCCACTCTTTATCACAACCCTGCTAAAAGTGCCAGTACGTGCGCTCATTGGCGCCCCTTCAGCTGGTGGCGCCCTAGGCGACCGCCTAGCTCGCCTATGCCTAGAAACGGCCCTGCATGTAGGATGAACTAAAGCAAACTGAGTAAGCTCAACTAAAATTAGACATGTCATAATAACTTGATTTATTCATGTCCAAATAACATGGTACAAACACGTGGAACCACTGTCCATGATTGAATCATGTTCAGCCAAAGAGTAATTTTTTTGAGTGCAGTGGCCCCAAAACATATTTTCATATTTAAGCTGCACATAGAAATTAATGAATATAATTTTGATAGATAAAATACCAATTGAAATGTCATTCATTTTAAATAAAGTTAGCAGAAGCACAATTTTCTATAGAAACCTGTTCTTGTACTTTCGCCTTTATATCTCACAATTGGGACTGTTTCTCATAATTGCAACTTTACATCTCACATTTGGGATTTTATATCTTACAATTGGGACTTTTGTTCTCATAATTGCACCTTTATATTTCACAGTTGCAATTCCATATCTCACATTAGGGAGTATTTCTTATAATTGTGACTTTGTGTCTCACAGTTGGGACTAGTTCTCATAATTGAACCTTATGTCTTATTTTGATCTTATTTCTCATAATTGCAACTTTAAACCTCACAAAAAAGTTTATTTTAAACTTTCTCACGGTTACCTATTTTATTCCTAGGCAGAAACAGGACTCCATACTTTTTATGCAAAGCATTTCACAGACATTTCTTATTTTTAAAAAGATATTTTTTATCTTTTAATATAAGATAATAAGATATTAATATTAAGATAAGATATTTTTTCACCAAATTGTATGACTCTTTCTGTTTGTTTAATATTAGTGGATCATGGCCATAATTACTGTGATGAACTACACCTGTGGTTATCATACTAGTACACCTTTGGGGAACTGACTTAAAAGGTATTAAAACGACATTGGGAAAATTACCTTTACTGTAGATAAATGTAAAGCTAGAAAGAGTAACTGACCATCTGTTGTTTATTTCCTATGGTTAAGAGTAATGTTCTAAGAAACACACAAAGACTCATCTTCATTAGTCTGTAGGCTGTTCATGTTTTCATATGTGGAGAGGGATTTGTGTGATGTGAGATGATGTTTTTTAAGGTCAGTGATTTGGAATAGTCGGAAATAATGAGTTTTCCTATTAGAACTGTCCACATCACTGACCTCTGTGTGTGTGTTATTGTATATTATTACGCACACACATTGCTAAAGTGCATGTTGGTGTTGTTTATGTGTTTGCAAATATCATTTACAATTACAAGCAGCAACGATTAATATTATTAAAAGTAATATTTTAGTGAATTTGCATGCTAGCTTGATTCTTGAATTACTGCATTAATTCTGCTGTGTGTGTGTGTACTGGAGGGGTTGTATTAATTAGGGCCTCTGTCTGAAATGGCAGCCTTTTAATGCCCCCGCGGGACAAAAAAAACTGAAGTAATTGAAACTGTAAAGGATGGGGGGCTCGTTAATCAGTCAGAAAATGTATATTCCCATGAGGGATGTGTCTAAACCGACTTACACACACACACACACACACACACACAAATGCCTATGAGGCTTTTATAGTAATAGGTGCAGAGACATGCTTAAACATGTTTGTGCAGTGATTGTTTTAGAGTGTTAATGATTGCAGGTGGTTACATCATACTCTCTGGAGATTTCAGACATGTTTGGTAAAGCGTGTGTATTTTTGGATTCCTCTGAGAGGCATGACAGTATATGTTCCAAATGCAGTAAACTAACAGTGTTTGTTCCCATGTCTAAATATAAATATGCACCTCTGTGTGTACTTATTTACTATGCCTCAGTGGCTATTTTCCTGGACAGACAGAAAGTGTGTCTTATGGTGTGGGTGTCTGTTTTGTTGTATATAGTCTTGGTATAAAATCGAAGCTGTCTAATTATACACTAATTGTACAGTGCCTTGTAAAAACAATAGACCCACTATTTCATTTCAGCCAGCCAATCATACTGGAGGTTACAATTTTGGCTTTATTTGTGGTGGCCCAACTGAAGTAAACAAAAATTGATAAATCTGACAAATTTCAAACTTATCACTGGTAGAAACTGATAGAATGCATTTGTTCTGATTGTTCTGAGTTGTCATTCTTTTGTGACAATGTGTCTACATTTATTAGAAAGTCAGTATATTTGATATCTTATTGATTGCAGAGGGCTAAGTGGTTCAATCCAGATTCAGTAACTTAAGCTAACATGTTGTGTTTATCAATTTGGCATCAATCCCCAATTTTCTCTGACCTCTGCAACTCCCCCTCCCCCACAGTGGGTGGGCCAGATTGGTCCTTTATTTTTTTGCACATTTTCTTCTGGGCTTTGGTAAGCTAATCAGAAAATGGAAACTAATTGGAAATGCATGGTAGGAGAACAGCTAAGCTGTTGCCTAAAGGCTAATTCATTTTATTTTCAAGCTAAAACATGCAAATCACTGGAAGTAAGTGACAAGTTTGTAAATGTGATTTTGTTTGTTCAGTTCTAATGTACTTGTGCATAAGATACGCAAGGAAGCCAGAAACCAGCAAAATAAAATCAGTATGGTTTTATCTTTATATTAAGGCAAAATATTTTGACAGATTTATCATAAAATCACAGTGTGTATGAATTTTAATCAGTGAATTTATGAGTTTAAACAGTGATTAAATAATTGGACCTGAAAAGCGAACAAAAAAGACCACAGTTTCTTAAAAATCTCTATACTTTTGCTTTTAAATGAGTACATGTAAAATAATAGTATGCTTATTAACTCTAAAATAGTTTACTCTGCCTCCAGTATATGACTGACATTTATTAATTTCACATTAATGTGCATTTATGTGTGTCTGTGTGTAAAATTGGAAGAAAGATGACATTTAGCTTCTATCTCCTAGGGAATAGTATTGCATTTAAATTAAAATAAGCATTTAAGTATTTTATCTCTTGTATGCTTATGCTCAGGGTCTGAAATTTACACTTGCCAAGTGCCAAATGCAAGGGAAAAATTAAACTTACTTGGCAGTGGCTGGTATCTGCTACTGTGCTATACTTTAGTAAAAAATGCAAAATACTGTAACTCACCATTGGCGCATGTAACAAAATATTAATTTTGGACACTGTTTATGCTGTTTTTGTGTTTGTTTCCAGTGTAAAATTCCACATACTGTTATATACAGCTGATAAATGGTTGTAGTTCATTTGTATCTAGAATAGTTTCACCTGTCCTGCAGTTTAGTACACTAATTGCTTAAGGTTGGTAAAATTCTCTGTTTTTTCTTCTCTTTCTCTTCAGCTGTTAGCTCAGGTGCTGCTGTTCTTATGTATAAACACTGCAGGGATGTTTATCAGCTACCTGTCAGACCGCGCCCAACGACAGGCCTTTCTGGAGACACGCAGGTGCATCGAGGCACGTCTCCGCCTGGAGACCGAGAACCAGCGACAGGTTAGTGTTCGCAAACTTTAAAAGTTTCCTTCACACACACTCACGTGACATATGTAAATGTGTTTGTGGGCAGAGTGCGTTTGGATGTTTCCAGGAAGTGTACAGTATGTACAATGTATGTGTGCGAAACAAAACAACTACTTCATTAAATTGCGTATACTTTCTAGCAAAATACCATAGTTTATAGACGTGTGTGTGTGTGTGTGTGTGTGTATATATATATATATAATTTATACACAACAATTATTCAGCCAATATTTGAAAATTTTGGTAACCAATTTACAGAAATGTTTATTCTACTGGCAGCTTTGTCAGTGAATAGTAAATCATTTCTTTTTTCAAATTTGAGTAGATGTTGTATACGTTTTCTTATCAAAACGTTGGTATGATTTTTTCATGTTTTTGAAACAAGTCTTTTATGCTCAACAAGGCTTCATTTATTTGATCACAAATACAGAAAAGAACAGTAATATTGTGAAATATAATTTCAAAATAAATGAAATATAATTTAAAATAACTGTTCTCTATTTGAATATATTTTAAAGGGGACATCAGATGCTCATTTTCCACAAGTTGGTATGATTCTTTAGGGCCTTCATGAAATGTCTGTATCATACTTTGGTTAAAATTCCTCAACGGTCGTGTAAAACAACACCCTTCTTACCTTGTCAAAAACAGCTGTTCACAGCAACCCGTTTCAGTGCAAGTCTCTAAATAATAATGAGCTACTGCTCACCCCACCCCTCTCTTCCATGGTGGTCTCATTTACATTCACATAGAAACTGGCTGCGTGTTTTCTTTTCAGCTTTTCTGAGCTGGCAGACACGCCAGAAACCTAACTAAACCTAAAACTAAAAATTTCATACAATGTCCCCTTTAAAATGTAATTTATTTCTGTGATGGCATAGCTGAATTTCAGTTAGCTGATAGAAAAGAGTCCATTTCTACTGGGCACTGTGTCTCTTTCTAATTCAAAGGCAGTGATTTTCCCTACTCACATTCCATTAGGTCGTAAATGTATCTGGTGTCAGGGTTGCCATGGTAACCAGGGTCCTGGGCCTTGTTCACAGACAACTTGGCACCCAGTATGTTTATTGGGTGAGGGGTCTGTGAACGTTTGTTAATCTAATGAATAATTGATTTGTTAAATCAAATGAGAAATGGTGTGTCTGATTGGTCCAGACGCTACACAGTCTTCAGTGTCACATGATCCTCGTTGATAATAACATTTCTTATTATTATCAATGTAAAAACAGCACTGTACTATCAACGTACTTGATATTTTTTTATCAAAAATGTGATAATTTTTTTTTCAGGATTCTTTGATGAATATAAAGTTCAAAAGAGCACAATTTATTTGAAATAGAAATAGTTTATAACTTTACAAATGTATTTACCATCACTTATGATCAATTTAATACATGCTGAATAAAAATATTCAGTTCCTTCCCAAAAAAAAAAAATCTTACTGACCCCCCAACCTTTTAAAAGTGTGTGCACATTCATGCTCACGTGTAACCTTGCTATATCACACTCCTTTATCATCAATGAGCCACAGTGGGTGAGAGTAATTGATTTAAAGATGACAACAGCATCTCATAGGGACAGAAGGCTAGTGTAGAAAGGTTCCGAGACTCCTTAGGGAATCTCTCTCTCCGTCTCCCCCCCACCCATCTCTTTCTCTGAGAGCACTCCGGCTGTTTGCTGAAGTGGGTTTTATTTGCCAGTCAAGTGGAGCCCATGCTGGTACCACTGTGTGTGTGTGTGTGTGTGTGCTTGCATTTCCTCTTCCTTTGTATGTCCATCTATCCAAATTTCCTGTGCTTTTAGCCCAGCCAGTGGTGAGATTACAAACCTCTGGCTTGTTGAATTCATATTTGCAGTACCAGCTCTTTATCCATGCAGCGTCACAAAGGTGAATTACAGCTGAGGTGTGTAATTTTTTTTCAATTTGAAAATACTTTCTCCTACCTCAGCCAACCTAATATGGAGAGGCAGCTGTTAGTTATATTCCTCCCAAAAAGTGTAAACGCTATTGCTGTTTGTTTATGCATCTGACCAGCCCAACACCACAATATTGGCTCAACCAATGGCGTGGTTTTGGGCTCCAACCAATGGAAGACTGGGAACTGTTTGAAAAATATTATAAATTTTGCAATTAGTAAAGAAATTACATACTTCAGCTTTAATATATTTGGCAGATGTTCTTTGCAGTGTTTTGTAAAAGCATTCAGACTCTTTCTTCTCACATTGTATTGAATTATAAATTCATTTTAGTTTTTGGGAAATAATTTTGGGAAAGACGCTGTTATGCATTTGTATTTAGCCCTGTGTGCTGGACGCTCTGGGATATTTAATTGACTGCGCAACATTTAAGGGAGCTAGCACTGGATAAAAATGACTTGATGCTGTTATTGCAGTAAAAGGAAACTGTATCATATGTGGGGTTAAAAAAATAAAATAATGCAAAAAACTGTTTCCTAATGAAATTCTACATTATTTGTGAAGTAGTTTAAAGGTAAGACTGGTATACTAGTTGAGTTGGTAAACTGGTTGAACTCAAAGGGAATTTATGTGTATAATATGAAAATTATGTTTTTGTATGTGTAAGTGTGCATTCAGTGACTGAATGATTTAAATCCATGTTTAATGAAGCACATTACCCATGCTGCAACTGTGTTAGGAGCGTCTGGTCTTGTCGGTGCTGCCGCGCTTTGTAGTGCTGGAGATGATTAACGACATGACCAACGTGGAGGACGAGACCCTACAGCACCAATTTCACCGCATCTACATTCACCGCTATGAGAACGTGAGGTAATTTCTTCCATTGTGGTACAGTCATCATGAATAGAACAGAAGAGAATTAAATGGAATTGAATCAGTCATCCGCCATTAAGGCTCGGTCGCCCACCATTCCGGCTCAGTTACCCGCTCCGCTGTTATGGCTCAGTCATCCTCAGTCACTATCTTTTATAACCCAAACAAGTAGCCCAGTACAGCACAGTCAGTCACCATAAGAGCACCAAATAGACTCTGACTGGCCCCAAAAATGGCAGTTCATGGCCGTGTGAGCCAAAATGAAGCCACTTTGGCCACCCCTTAAATTGTGTTATATAGTATATGTAATAACATAAACGCATTCAGAACGATCGCAGACAGAATACTTGTCCTGTCATAAAACAACATTTAATGTCAGATTAATCCGTTCTTAACATGAAGTCACTTCATATAGAAATTTATAAAAATGGCATTTTCTACAGCATAATTTCTGTAATCTGTTTGTTATTTGTGTAGTTACTGTTCAACTGTTTAGTCAGTAAGATTTTTTTTATGTTTTTGAAAGACATCACTTGCTTACCGAGGTTGCATTTATTTGATCAGAAATACAGTAAAACGGTAACATTGTGAAATATTATTACAATCTTAAACAAATGTTTTCTATTTTACTGTATTTTAGAATAGAATTTATTCATGTGTTCTTGTGAATTATTAGCAGCCGTTACTCCAGTCTTCAGTGTCACATGATGCTGATTTGGCGCTCAGGAAACATTTCTCATTATTATCAATGTTGAAAACAATTGTACTGTTTAACATTTTTGTTGAAGCTGTGATTTTTAAACAATTTTTTATTCAGGATTTTGGATAAATTGAAAGTTTAAAAAACAGTATTTATCTAAAATAGAATTTTTTTGTATCATTATAAATATTTTTACTGTCACTTTTGATCAATAATAAAAAAAATTGTACTAACCCTAAACATTTTAACAGTAGCATAGCTTGCATAGCTATTATATTTAAACGTATTAGTACAATTAGCTTATATATTTAGGAAGTTTTGCCTGTTTATCTCACATTAAAATTCACTGATTGGCTGTAAAATGTTTGGGAAAATTGTTGTGATTTTTCCAGCTGATCTGTGTGCATGTGTGTTTTGTGCAGTATTCTCTTTGCTGATGTGAAGGGCTTCACCAATCTTTCCACCACACTCTCCGCTCAGGAACTCGTTCGAATGCTCAACGAACTCTTTGCACGCTTTGACCGACTGGCACACGTGAGTGATCTAACACACATACATTACAATCTGTAAGCCATATCACAGCGTCATTTGGGGTATAAAACATGTAATAGTTCTTGAAATAGCAGATGGAAATTAATTAAGGCATGGTGTTATTTTTTATCTCTCTGGATATTACAGCCTGTGGCTTATGTTTATTTAATATTGTTTGCTTGATATCCAAGTGTTGCCTGAAATGCTATGGTTTGATAAGACGGTTACCTTGACATTTATATCAGTTAGCACTTTTAAGTTTGAGGAGTTCTTCTAGTTAGGCATTACATCTCATGTTTTCAGCGCATATTAATTTCAGAGCTCTTAATGCACAGGAAATACAGTGAAAATGCACTGTAAACCCAGTCTCGACACAGTCTTTTGCAATATGTTTGTCTGAAGCATAAAAACAGATGTTTGTTGGGCTTAATGAAAAACAAACTGAATTTTCTATTCTATTCTATAGACTAAATCCCAATGAGTTGAACATTTCATAGTTACTCCTTGAGCTTTGGGTTCTGTGTAGATGAACCATTAGGATGTAAATACACCGTCTGCATTGGTTTATTGCACTGCATTTGTATGACTTTCTTCTGTGGGACACAAAAGAGGAGATTTTGAAGAACTGTTTTTGTCGATACAATTCAAGTCAGTGGTGGGTTCAAAACAACACTGAACCCCAGTTGACTTGCATTGTATGGACAAAAAAACAAACAGAATTTCTTCTTGAGAAAGCTATACAGGTTTGGAACGACATAAGGATGAGTAAATTATGATAGAATTTTCATTTTTGGCTACCTATCACTTTAAGTCATTGTCATTCAACACACCACCTTTCATGTAAATTAGGCTTATTTTAGTGCTTTATTCACATAAGTCAGCGCTGTTTATCTCAGAAAATTGCAGTTACACTGCTGCTTCGCTTGCACATATTTATTGCAGGATGTGTGAAACAAAGACAAGTGTTATGTTTGTGTGCCAAGGGCAGTTCCAGCGTATCTTGGCTTGGCGTTTATAGTGGCACCAGATAAGCTGAGTTCAGTTAGAGTACAGAGGAGATTGAAATATTTGCCAGCTCACCCTCCTTCATGTCCTGCAGTGCACTGATGTGCTAAATACCTGTTGCAAAAGTCACATAAATAAAATCGTTGTGACCGCGTCCCCAACATTAATGACATTGATTTATGAGTGTGTGTGTGTGTTAGCGCAAGGGTACAACTGTCAACAGCTAGTGAACATCTTGATAGCTGCCCTTGGAAGAAAGAACAACATTAGTTACACGCGTATATATGGGCAGATTGATTTTGTGTTTTTAACAAATGTGTTTTTTGTTCTGTTGTTCAGACTGGAGAAGGAAATAAATGCATTATGAAGAATATTAAACTCCATCCTCATTCTGCAACTCTCCAATAATCGTATTCATGAGTCAGTATAATAATCATTGGAGATTAACCAACCATAAAGTGGCTTGCTGATGCATAATGCAGATATTCAAATGTGGCATATGTGTGCTTGCAGATGGTTGTATCAGTATGTCATATTTAAATATCCTTGTGTCCTTGTGCGTGTTTGTGTGAATCTGCAGTCACACTCGTGTGAGCAGGCCTGGTGTGGTTATTAAATTCTGCAGCAGTTTATCGTAATGAACAGTATTAATTTTCTCTCCCAATGGCAATGTTTATTTAGAGATGTCATATGTGTGCGGTTAGTGCTGTACTGGTTAACTGTGCGGTTGAGCTGTCGCCTTTTGCCTACATAATGTTTTTGATTGTTTGTGACATGCCACATCCTGACAATACTTTGAACTCCAAAGATCCCATCTTACACTAGCATTATCTTCCATAAATCTGTCTTGCTCTCTTGCTGTCTGTCTCTCCCTAGCTCTTTATTTTTCTTCTACAGCCTCACATTACCTAATTGGAAATGTACATTAACACTTTTGTTACTTGACATATGATCTAAGCGTGTGATGTAGAAACACCAAACATCTGACAAAAGCTGGTATATTTTTCAGGGCTTGCAAAATTTCAAAATCACTGGTAGCCCTTCGGGCAGACATTCTTCAGATTTTGGTAGCCCAAAATGAATTTAAGTAGCCCGAATAAAAAAATTAAAAAAAGACATCGGCTTAACTTCACTGCAGACAAATCGGCATGATTAAAAACTTCATTGATCGCTTTTTTTCTTCAAATAACAAGTCAAGAGAGTAGGGGTGCAACGGATCACAAAACCCACGGCTCGGATCATATTGCATTATCATATCAGATTTTGAGTAACAGATTGGATCATTTTGCAGATGAGCAAAAAAAATATGGTTCTTTATTATTTAAATAACAGAATACTTCTTTGATACCACAGCAAAAACTAGTAGCATATAGGGATGTAACAATTCACTCAACTCACGATGCGATGCGATTCACGATACAGATTTCACAATATAATTTTCTCACAATTATTCTTTTTAACAAAATGAGATTTAAGACAAATTATAAATGATAAATAAAAAAAATGCTGCACATTTCTTTGTGAAATTGAAATATGTCAAATAATAAAACTATAACTTGACATTTTTAAACAAATCCCAAATCAAATAAATAATACAAATAAAATAAATCTCTTCATATAAACAAACTAAGGCTTTGGCTGTGCTTTTCATATAAACAAACTAAGGCTTTGGCTGTGCTTTTTCCATTTAAAATCAGAGGCAACCACTGCATTTTAATCATGATCCAAACAAAGATGCTAAATACATGTTATTTAGATTGCAATTAGATTGTATAATTTCGAAATTAAGCAAAAACAGAATGGTTTGATTTTAGTTTTGTGAATGAGATGCAAATGTCACTCTCTGACAGCAGGTGGCGCTTATGGAACAGCAGGTGTTTATAGGCTGCTGCCCCTTTAAGACCGAATGCACGGATCCAATATAATGATGCGCGCTTTGAATGAGTGCGCGCAGCTCCGAATGCACGTGAATGGTTTAATGCTTGAATGTTTAAATTGGCAAGACTTAGAAACACGTGCAAACGATCAACTATGATCCGTTTTACCCCTACAAGCTAGTGAACAACGCAAATCAAGGCAGGAATTTTATATCACTTTTCAAGATAGCACATCGGGCAGGGTGGTGAAACATTCTGGTAGCCCGACTGGAAAACACAATAGCCCCGGGACGTCGGGCTAGCGATTTTGCGAGCCCTGTTTTTTAGACTTGTGCCACGGAAATACCATGTTTTTGGACATATACCCTGGTTGTGCCATGATATTCATTGAAGTACTGTATATTGGAGTATCATATTATGTTATCAGTATGTCTGTTCCCTTGGAAACGAATCCATGACCTTGATGTTGCGAGCAGCATGTGCTAGCATTTGACCTACGGAAATCTATCTACCATTCAAAAGTATTTTTTAATAAAAAAAAAAATTAAAAAAATTAATATAAAAGAAATTAATACTTTTATTCAGCAAGTGTGCATTAAATTGATCAAAATTGACAGCAAAGATATTTGTAATGCCTTAGAATTTAGATTTTTATTTCAAATAAATGTTGTTCTTTTGACTTTTCTATTCAGAGAATTCTGAAAAAAGTATCACAGTTTCCACAAAAATATTAAGCAACACAACTGTTTTAAACATTTATAATAATCAGAAATGTTTCTTGAGCACCAAATCAGAATATTAGAATGATCATGTGACACTGAAGACTGGAGTAATGACTGCTGAATATTCAGCTTTGCATCACAAGAATAAATTACATTTTAAAATAGATTAAAAAAAAGAGTTTTTTTTATCAGTGATAATATTTTAGAATATACTGGTTTTTTTGTGTGTTTTTTTTATCAAATAAATGCACCTTGGTGAGCATAAGAGACTTTTTTTTAAAAACACAAAAAAATCTTACTGATCCCAAGCTTTTGAACAGTTGTGTGTATATATAAAATACCATGGTATTATCATCTGATACCATCAATGTTACTACAGTACTTTTTCCTTAAGGCTCAATCCAACTAAGAGCGGGTTCAAGTTTAATTTAATGGGTTATTTATTAGCATCATGCTGTAATGTTGATGTTTTGAGTATGGAGTGTTACACTAGCATTTAATGCTAGTTTCTATGTTTATATCCATTAAATTGGCCCACGGTTTGGTATTGATTATGTTAAAGGTATTCACTTAGCCTTCAGATTAGCATTAGTGCTTCAAACATGCTATCATGAGTCAGTCCAGAGCTAATCGAGCTGTAGGTGGTGTTTTTAGCGACTGACAAATGACAGTTACGGGCGTAATGACTCTTTGTTTCCATACAGCCGTTTACTGAGCTGTGAAAAGACTTTAATACGGCAGTAGGCATGAGTAATGGATCTCAGAGAGACCGAATGAGTGAGTGGCGGCCTTATAATTACCACCCTCTCTGAGCTCTATACAAAAACCTGGCAGGCTGAGAGATAACTACCACAGATAGAGTCTGCAGTGGAAATTATAGGGTAATTGTGGTTATAAATGCTTAAACCCTCATACATCCCTTTCACACACTGTAAGATGTGAAACTGTGCAACTGTTACATTAAGCAGCTAATTCTACCTGATCTGACCCTTAATTACTTTTATTGGGATATCTTAATGTATTTTGACTGATTCAGATGTAATAAATAAAAATATTGTAAAACAGTTTGTAAAAAATGTAAAACTGTCTTCTCCTTTTCCTCTAAGGAGCATCATTGTCTGAGGATCAAGATACTGGGGGATTGTTATTATTGTGTTTCTGGCCTTCCCGAGCCTCGACTGGATCATGCCCACTGCTGTGTTGAGATGGGCCTCAGCATGATCAAAACCATCAGGTAATGGTGAAACGTTTCATGTTTTATACTGCCAGCCAACACTAAATAATTGATTTAATATTTCAGTAAGCATATTATGTTCCAAGAGCAAGATGTTATTGCTCAAGTTATTGACCAGATTGCTGAGAAATTGTATTGCTTAAATAGACACAAATGAGAGAGTTGTTAACATAGTAGAGTATATATCTATAAAATGAATGTGTATATAATAGCTCAGTGCTCAGGAGACACATGTAAGAGTACTAGGAGGAATGTTCACCCAAAATTAAATTCTGACATAATTACTCACCTCCATATCATTCCAAACATGTACAACTACAAGGAACACAAAACATTTCTGAAGATTTTCCTTGCCATTCTTTTAATTTAATAAAAGTGAGTAAAGAACGGGGGTCATTCAAGCTCAGAAATGACAAACAGCATCTTAAAAGTGATCTATTTGACTCATACACTGTATTTAACATCTTCTGAAATCATATACTATAACTTTTTGTGGTGAACAGACTGAAATTTAAGCCATTCAATGATTTTCAACTATCTTGACATCCACCATACTATAACTGTCCTTATTAATGCGAGAAGTAATAATGCACAAAATTGAATTGTTCTATTGAGTCGTATCAATAATGAATTATTTGAATCATGAATCAGACGGATCTTGTTTTCGAGTTCAACTAACTGACTCAATAAGCACAGTGGTAAATGGCCCACTTGAGTGGAAGATCGTAAGTGAATAATGACTTGAAAACTTGTCAAGTGTGCATGAGTTGTATGGACTATTTTTAAGATTCTTTTATGGAACTTTTTGAAGCTTGACCTGTCCCTGACTACTCAACCAACCATCATATTATTTAATTTCTGATTTTTGTGTTCCACTGAAGAAAGTCATAACCAATTGGTGATGACAAGAGTGCAAGTAAAGGGATATCATTTGCTATGCTTCTTTCCTATAGGTTGCCAAATTGGGCAAAAGAACTCACAAAATGAGACATAACGTTAATATCTGCCTCACAGGTTGCATTTGAGTTTGTATGAGGTATTATTAGCGCTATTTTAAAACAATGGAAGTCTATGGTATGTCTGTAGTAAGGTAAAGTGAGTAAAGTAAATGACAGATAGGGAGAGGCCACTAGACCAGTTCTGTTGACCCTTAATAGAGGCTAGATAGCAGATGAGAGGCCCTTGTTCCGTAGGTGTGTATGTGTGTGCTCCACTAGTGTGAGTGCTGTCAGATATCACGGCACTCACACTACCACTCAACACACACACAGCAGTGACAGTGTGACCTCGATTCCTCTTTTTATAAACAGCCACTTACTTCTGCCTGTTACCCCATTCAGGAGTAATAGTATGATGTGCATTTAAACTTGCCTGTAAACCCAGTGTGAGTTCTCTAGCTCAACAGTTGTTTAGCGGAACCATTACAGAATTGCAACACAGCTAGCTATCTATCCATCCTAAACTTTTTGTATTTGTATGTTTAGGTATGTGCGCTCACGAACAAAGCATGACATAGACATGCGCATCGGCATCCACTCTGGCTCAGTTCTTTGCGGAGTTCTTGGTTTGCGGAAATGGCAGTTTGACGTCTGGTCTTGGGATGTCGACATAGCCAACAAACTGGAGTCAGGGGGAATACCTGGGTAAGATACACACACATGTGCACACAAAAGCTCTCTTTTGTGATTAAAAAGTAAGGGAAGTAAAGTGGGATTATCCAGTTGCCCTCAAATATGCTCGACTGTGATAGAAAAGAGATATTTTATGGACACCTTCTCTTTCTTGTGTAACTGTGTGGGTGGAAATTAAGTGAGTTTTTGTTTATTCTCATTTTGAAAAAGGTGCTTTGTTTTGGATGTGTGAGATGAATCTGTAGTTAATTTTGACTCCCTCAGGAGGATCCACATCTCTAAAGCGGCTCTAGACTGTCTGAACGGTGATTATGAGGTGGAGGAGGGTCACGGTAAGGACCGTAACGACTTCCTGCGCAGGCATAACATCGAGACCTTCCTGATCAAGCAGCCAGAGGAGAGCTTACTCACACTGCCAGAGGACATCATGAGAGATTCCACCAACCAATCAGATCACAGAACGTCTAACACTTCCTTCACAGAGGGAACATGGAGCCCTGAACTTCCCTTCCATAACATAGTGGGCAAACAGAATGTGAGTGCAGTACACACACAAGCAAACAACCAAACAAGCGCAGTTAAGAAAACACACATTAACACAACCTCAGTGATTTTGAACCTCAAACACAGCAGGCAAATGGAGCAAAGTCACCTACATCTTGGATGCCCTGGGGGTAAGCAGATAAACATCAAATTTTCATTTTTGGGTGAACTATCCCTTTAAATTGAGGCTCTGTATCCGTTTACTGCGCCTGTCTTTCATTTCAGTGTGAGCTCCTGATTTATTTCCACATCTCTCCTTTTTCTCTCATGTTCGTCCTGCATGGTTTTTGTATTGTTTGGTTGTTCTGGATTGTTGTGTGTATTTACTTCATAACCTATATGGTGATCTGGTCTGTAAGTGCACATGTAAGGTGCCATTCACAGAAAATATTTTTGCATTCCACAGTGCTGCATTTCCATTGATTTTCTATGTAAATATGTGTTAGATGGACATCTTTGTATGAAGATTATTTTTCCAGTCCTTTGCCCTGCGTCTTTCTTGTGAATGGCCCCTAACTGTTTTTCTTTACATGAAGATTCTTATTTAAGATTTTAGATGTGCTACACCCAGTGGACCAGTAGTCACACTAAAGTTAGAGATGTAGACAACTACTCAGCTGTAGTGGCTCCGCTTGGATGGATTAAATGTGAATATATGCTCTGAAAACACTGTTTCTGTCGTGCAGGTTTGGAAACCCATTACAACACTTTTCCTGCCAAAATGTTAATGTAACATGCAATGAAAAAGAAGTGTACAAGCAGAAGTCTCTAGATCTCTGTAAAATGGCTCATGTTGCAAATTCATTTTAAATGTTCTTAGTGCTGTTGGACAGCTATAGTGCTCTAGAAGGTCTCAGGACTGTAAGGTAAAGGGTAATGTTCTAAAAGGCTGTCTAGACTGTTGGTTAAGGACAGTGTTCTGAAGGGCTGTTAGGGATAGATGGTGTTCTAGAAGGTCCTCAGGCTATAGGAAGAAGGTTCAAGAAGGTTTCAAATAAAAGAGGTACTATTCTAGAGCACAGCACAATAGGGTTCTCAAGGCTATAGTGTGTGGAAAGTGTTGTAGTGTGTTCTCAAGGCTATAGCGTAAAGACAGTGTTCTAGAGGGTTCTAAAAACTAGGGTTCTAGATTCTCTAGACTTTAGGGTGGGGACAGAGTTCTGTAGAGCTGGGACATTGCCAATGTGGTTTTCAATTTTGTTTCATAAGGAATATGTTCTAACTGATTCTTTTTTCTTTTTCTTTTTTTTTTCAAGACTGCAGGGTAAGGACAGTGTTTGTGTGGGCTCACAAGTCTGGAAACAGAGTTCCAGTGAGTTCTCAAGGATTAAGGGCAATAATAGTGTTCTTGTAGGTTCAGGGCTATATGATGGGAACAGAGTTCCAGTGTTCTAGTGGATTCTCTAGGCTGTAAGATGAAGGCAGTGTTCTAAAGGGTTCTCGAGGTTGAAAGATTGGGCCGGTGTTTGAGTTGGTTCTTAGGGTTGTAGACGGGAATAATGTTCCAATGAGTTCTCAAGGCTATAGTGTAAAGAGTGTTCTAAAGTGTTCTCAAAGTTGTAGATTATGCACAATGTTTTAAAGTGCTTTCGATACTTTTGGACAGGGATCTTGTTCTAGTGGATTCTCAAGACTTTAAGGCTGGGACAGGGTTCTGGAGGGACCTCATGGCTGTAAGTCAGGGGGGTTATTCCAGCTGTTTTTCAAACTTGTGGTGTAGGGACTGTGTTCTAGCTGATTCTCAAAGTAGGTTGGAAGGGACCATGGTTTAGAGCAAGAGTGTCAAGCTCAGCTCCTGGAAGGCCACTGTCCTGCACAGTTTAGCTCCAGCCAGCTCCAATACACCTACCTGGAAGTTTCTAGCACTCCTAAAGACTTTGATTAGCTTGATCAGGTATGTTTAATTAGGGTTGGAGCTAAACTTCAACAGGAGAGTGGCCCTCCAGGAGCTGAGTTTCACACCCCTGTTTCATTGTGTTCACAAGGTTGTAAGATAAAGACACTATTCTTCTGGATTCTCAAGGTTGTAAGAAGGGGACAGTTTTTTGGAGGGGTTCTCAAGGCTGTAGGGTGGGAATAAGTGTTAGAGTGGCTTTTCAAGGCTATAGGGTGGGCACTGTGTTCTGGAGGGTTCTCAGGGCTGAATGGCTCACAACAATGTTCTAGAAGGTTTTCGTGGCATGTGCAGTTGATTATGATGCAGAACTCTCTTGGTGTGGGCCGAGTTGCCAGGCAGTTGCTATGGTGACGTGGTTAACATAAGGGAATGTTGTCTTTGATTAATGCGGGGCTTTTGTTGCCTTTGTCATGCAGTCATCTTAACACATCAAAGAGCTCTCACTGTATGACTGGCAGGGCAACCAGCCAATTACACATCAGCTGAGAGCACAAGCTTTCACGTTGATTAGACGTGTGTGTGTGTGTGTGTGTATGTCTGAGCTATTCTAGATGTGTTCAAACAGAAGTATGCTGACATGTTCATGTGTGTAAGATTATAGGGCTGGTCTCCATGACAACAGGAATGTCTGTAAGACAGTAACAGGATTCTTTTTCTCCTTCACGCTCCGTTTATCCCTCCCTCTCTCTCTCTTTCATCTGCTGTTCTTTTCTTCTCCTTTATCTCACATCCTCTCCCTCTCTCTTCTCTGTCTCCCTGTTCAGGCTTTTTCCTCAGTGACGCATTGCAGCCACAGTGTGTGTGAGTGAGTGAATGTGTGTTTTAGTGAGTGTTTGGGTGTGCGTGTGCTGCCGAAGGGTGGTTCTGTTAATGGATTTAGTGTCTCAATCCTTGTGTTTTTGTGTAATCCAAAACTTCGTGGAGTTGAAAACATACACACACATGCATATAAACACTGCAACCTGAGAGTATTTCCTCCAGAGTTTAACATAGGCCTCGTCTTTTGTATTTGGTAGAGAAAGCATTTACTATTGATCAGCCAAAAAACCTCTGCAATGTCTGTGTTCCAAAATCAATAAATAAATCTAGATTAAAACATGGATCGAAATTTTGAGAGAACTACAGATTGGGAAGTCATTTTTTGCTCTCCAGGTTGAAAGCTGTATATTACTGAAATGTCAATAGGTGACTGAAGATCTAACCTGGCGTTTGTTTATTGGAGCTGAACATTTTACAGAAGAAGAAGAAGAGAAGTGCACCTCTCTTCTTTTATCATAGTATCCCTGACCCATGACTTCCTGCCATCTGACTACAATATTAAAAGCTATTTAAACTCCACCTCTATAAGCAATTTCAGGAAGCTTTGCTGCTCTCAAAAGCATCAGAGCTCTCAAAAGCTTTATTTCTCCACCTTTAGGATTATTGAGGAGAACTCAAATTGATTCTCCGACATCTCCACCCAGAAGCTTTTCCATCTCTTCTACTCCACCCAGATTTTTTTTTCGGTTTTATTCAGTTCATAATCTGATTAATACCTCAACCAGAATGGAAAACATTGATGTAAACCCCTTAGTCAGGAAAAATCATATTCAGCTTGATTCAAAAGAAAGGGGTGTTGCAAATATAATCTGTTCACAGTGAGATTGAAAAGTACCTTGCATGCATCTGAATTGTAGTGCAAGAGCAATTTTTGATAGTTGTTGGAGGAGAAATGAGCATGAAGCTGATGCATGTGGATTGCTCTTTACACCCTCGGTAAGTATAATTTGAAACATCAGGGGGCATGATTAATCATAATTGTATTAAATTGATGCATTAAATTGAAAGCCCCAGTTTTTACTAATAGAAACTACCTTTCAAAAGTCAGCAAGATTATTAAAATCTTTTTAAAAGGAAGTTTTATTCTATTACGCTAATTTGGTACTTAAGACAAATTTCTTAATATTATTAATATTGAAAACAGTTGTACTGCTTGATATCTTAATATTAGGGTTATTTGATGAATAGAAATCACATTTATTTGAAATAGAAGTCATTAATTTTGATCAATGTAATGCATCCTTACTGAGAAAAAAAATACTAATTTGTTTCAAAAACAAATTAGTGACCCCAAACATTTGAACGGTACTTTATATTGATTTTCATTTGTATGTTGTTGTTTTGGCATTGCTGTATGACCTTGTGTAAAGAATAGTGTTAAGCTGTTTAATATTGTGTCCAAGGCAGAACTATAATTGCTAGAGAGAATAAATCTTATTGAATATAGAATAGCTTGTAAGTTAGGTACATTGTTGTAGAACTAACATCTGATGAATGAAAAGTCCATATACAGGGCCCAAAAAAATATTTGGGCACTTAAGCCATGCTTAAAAATGTATGAACATTTGCAATAGTATTGAACTTTTTTATTGTAATTTTAGTGGATGTACAAAGTCAGTGCCCCTCGAGTTCACACAGGTGTCCTAGCAGAGTAAACACAGCTGTAGTTCATCACATTAACTATGAACATGTTCTGTTTCTAACAACCAGAAATTGCCAGAATATGTTTTGTTTCCATTATATCATTTGAAACCAACAAGCATGTTTTTATGAAATGTTTTGCCTGAAAAGCATGTTTTAGTAAACACCATCAAGTTTGGCTTGAAGGTGTAGTTCACCTAACAATTTCATAATTTACTCACCCATGTGCCATTCCAAACCTATATGACTTTCTTTCTTTAGTAGACCACAAAATGAGATAACAATTTTCATTTTTGGGTGAACTGCTCCTTTAATTGCCACAATGCTTTTGAGGCCACTGTATACAGTATATATATTATACATTTTTGGACAGAACAGCACCTTGTCTACGTATGTTTGTGTGCGAATAGTCCATTGTGTATGTATGAGAGTGAGTCTGTGTGCGAGTTTTGTATTTCTCTAGATGACTCACGGCTCACAGTGACCACAGCTCCAGCTCACGGCACAGATGATAGTCCTCTTTAAAAGATACTTTCAGCGGTCAAAACAAAATCAAACATCTTTGTCAGATCCTGTTTATGCAATATCCTCTGCTAGTCATCCTTCCATTTGACCTCCACCCCTGTGCTGACATTTCCGTTGTTAAATACGCTCAAATACAAGTTCACATTTGTGACATATATGGTTGATACTGTGTTTGCTGCAAAGAAATGTGTTTGGTGACCCACACACATGGAGGTCTTCTCCCATTCTTCCGTGTAATAACTTTTGACAGCATGATGCTTCTAAAACAGCCATCTTGACACAGGTTGGTTGATTCTGTCAGGTTTGAACTAAGCATCTGTCAATTGGGTTTTATGAATAAGCAAGAGCCACCATTCAAGGGACATGTTCAGAAGATGAAATATAAAAAAATACACATTTTATTCAGTTCTACTGTTAATAAGAAACATGACAATTTTATTGTGCAATATTTTTGTGCTAATTAAAGTATTGAGTGTTTAGCTTAGCAACTTGCAAATATTATACTCTGTTTTGCTAACATTTTGCCCTATTTTGTTTGGAAGTCTATTTTCACACAAAGTTGACAGACTGGTTGGCTGAATTAGCTAGTTAGACATTATTAGTCAAGTCTCACTTTACGTGTGGCGCACTGATTGTTTGGGTGTGTGAGTTTGTTTGCATGGGCATTACTGCCTATATAGGACCACTTAGGATGTCTCATGTAAACAGTATTAAAAAAACACTAGAATTTGGAACAGAGCCATGGTGTAGCCAGTCTGAGGTAATGTTTTGCAGGTCATGTAAGGTTGCCTTCCTTTTCTTGTACAGTCATCAGGTTTAGTTGAGTAGCCTGAACTTAGCCAGGTCCTGTTCATGCCATTTTTCATTTATGTCCTGATGTTGTACAGTGCGTTTAAGGCTAGTGATATCTTTGTTTACCTCTATCCTCATATGAACCTCTCAGCTATTTGTTGTTGAAATCTTGTGTCAGGCTGTATTGTACAGGTGTTTACTAGGGTGAGCTGCATGACCAAAGTTTATATCATGATATAGTTATTTTTTTTCTGGAAATTCAACCTCCAAATGTTACATAATTTAAACATTTTAAAAGGAAAGGTACATTATCTTTTCATTTTTTTTTTTTAATTTAATAGTTTTTATTTATTTCATTGCTCCCATCTAAATTGCTCCCATTATTATCAACCAATCTGTTTATATTCTAAGCATATATATGTGACATTTTTCAAATTAGACTATAGATTTGTCTTGGTATTGGACTTGTGTTGTTGAAATCTTGTGTCAGGCTGTATTGTACAGGTGTTTACTAGGGTGAGCTGCATGACCAAAGTTTATATCATGATATAGTTATTTTTTTTCTGGAAATTCAACCTCCAAATGTTACATAATTTAAACATTTTAAAAGGAAAGGGACATTATCTTTTCTTTTTTTTTTTTTAATTTAATAGTTTTTATTTATTTCATTGCTCCCATCTAAATTGCTCCCATCTAAATTGCTCCCATTATTATCAACCAATCTGTTTATATTCTAAGCATATATATGTGACATTTTTCAAATTAGACTATAGATTTGTCTTGGTATTGGACTTGGTTCGGTTGACATTGGATGATGTAAAAAGCTTTGACATGTACTGTATAACACAAAAGTTGCTGAAAAAATAGCTTAAATAGGTCATATCAGCAAAATGTGGTATTTTCAGCAAATGATAAATGGTTCTTTCCTCATCCAAGGTGATCTGCCACCATCAATCCACCTGGTTTTAACTGGATTTTCCAGCAGAAAGAACTAACTGGAACAGCCTCATATTCTGATATTTAAAATATCTGATATAAAAGGTCCGGCTTTCCGGCATTAAGGCAGTGGAATTATTAGGCGTTGAAATAGTGTGTAGATTTTCTAGATCCACTCTAAAAGATGGGCTGAGCTGTAGGCAGTAAGAAAAGCCTTTTACTTACAGTCCAGAGCATTTGCTGTACAAAAAAAAAAATCATGTTATGTGCAAGTGTGTGTGTGTGCGTGCGTGCATGTGCGTGCTTGGCTGTCGTTTGGGGACAAAATTGTCATGAGAAGTGAACTAAATGATCTGGCAAAACCTCCACTGGAGATGTTGTATGTGTGAAAACAGTTCATAAATAAATTAAATAATGCAAAAGTTTTCTTTTAGGCATAGAGTTTGGGTTAATATATATTTAATTATAATTAGCCTTATATAAAAAATTGTATGTGTGTAATTTGTTCTCATTTAGCTAAGTAAACGTGCATGTGTTTGTGCAGTCATTTTCTAATGTTTCTTTGATTTTCATACATTCATGTTGTGCAGAGCTCTTGGATGAACAGATTCACACCAATACACACACACACAAACACACACTCTCTTAGACTCATGGGCGCTGCATGTGCTTTTCCTCTGTAGACTCTGGCTGCGCTCACACGTCACTCCATTAACCTGCTCCCCAACCACCTGGCTCAAGCCCTGCATGTGCGCGCCGGCTCACAGGAAATTAACGCTCGCATGCAGAGCGCCATCGCCCTGCGCAGCGGGCACAAGCTCCGCCAAGAACATATCTCCCCCTTCTCTCTCACCTTTAGAGAAGCACTGCTGGAGCAGAAGGTAGCCTGCTCCCATCTTCCAGCCATCCTGTCCTCCCTCTCTGCTCTCTCACGCTCTCTTTTTTGCTTTATTTTTGTTTTGGAGGTGCAAGAGAAGGAGGCGAGAGAGTGTTTTTGTCATGAGTAAACTAAAGGACGTTATGTGCCAGCAATAGCAGTCAATACTTTCTAGAACATGCACGGCAGTTTAAAATGCTCTCAATTACTATATCCCATCCGAAAAAACAAGTTAAGGGGGTCCAGCTGTTTTTAGAACATGGTAGCTGCTTTCTTGTTGGTCCAAGATGGTCAACCGGATGGACCAACAATCTAGACCAATTTGCACCATATTAACGATCATCTGCCACCAGTTTTAGTTGGATTTTCTAGCAGGAGTGATGACACTTCTGAGACCACTACAAAGCAGTTATGGACTTCACTTGAACGGATATTTCCCCTCAAAACTAAATTCTGTAATTATTTTCGCTCTCATGTCCAAACAGCCTTTCGTCTGTGGAACGAAAAATGTTACATTTTAAAGAGTCTTCAAGTTCTTCAATATTCAATGACAGTTAATATATAGTGACCACAGCTTCAAAAATGATTAAAAAAAAAAACATTACATCCATTTTTACGGAATGGTCTGAATGTTTCATTCACAAATCGTGATGCAGTTCTTGAGCTGTTAAACTGAGAACCGCTTTTAGGCCATTAGTGTGACAAAAAGGTTGTTTCCTGATCCGATCAGCAGGTTCTGACAAAGAAAAAGAGAGTGAATTTAAATCAACACTTAGGATAATGAGCTGGTGAATTCAGCCGATTGGATTGGTCTCCAAATTGATTTGTTTTAATCACTGATGTACTTGGTTCATCATATGAACCTTAATTCTCCCTGATCAGCTGGGATTGGCCCACAGACGGGCCTTCAAGTTACTCATGATCCACGACCGTGCATGTTTTCATCTTAGATAAAAACACTTTTTATTCAGTTTATTTGTCCCTCACCTCATTTCTGCTGGTTAGAGTTGACCTTTGCCCCCTGCTTGGCCTTTGACTTGGCCTGTGCCACTCTGTGCTTGGGTTTTTTGGTTTGCCCCGCCTCTAGCCCTGACATCACACATCCTCTCACTAACCCAAAGAGCACAGGAGTTGTGTGTATATGTGTGTATGAGCGCCTACCCTGCTCTCTCCTATGTGGTTAGCATTGCTTTCATGGTGTCATTGTGGTCGTCATGTGAAGAGGAAGTTTTGTCCTTAATTTTCTGTGTGTGCGTGTGTGTGTGTGTGTGTTTCCTCTACAGTATTCCCAGATGCGAGATGAGGTGTTTAAGTCTAATCTAGTGTGTGCCTTCATTGTTCTCTTCTTCATCACTGGAATACAGAGCTTACTTCCCTCAGCAAGGTAATTAATACACAAGTACATAAAGACACTGATGGCCATAACTACCACAGACATTGAGGTTGACACATGATCTATTTGGGTTTATACTGCATATAGTAGTCATGGATTAATATTTCCAGTAGTGTTCGATGTGGGTTTTTCAATTAAATTTGATCTCGAATATTTGATATTCGATTACTCCCACAAGAGCATCATATAATATGTGATCACTCATGTTTGTAGGACGGTCACTATGGTGATACAGTTCTCCGTCCTCATCTTGCTGCACTGTTGCCTTGTTGTCGTGACAACAGCGGAGGACTATAAGTGTTTGCCGCTGGTTTTGCGAAAAGCATGTTGCTGGGTGAACGAAACGTACGCTGCACGGAACGTTGTCATCTTCCTCTCCATCCTCATCAACTTTCTGGCTGCCATGATTAACATAGTGAGCAAACATTTTAATTAATTTTATTTTTAATATCATCATTATACTCATGCAAATGTTACCGTGGATATATAAAGTTTTAATTTGTGAGCTGAACCAATTTAAACTCTAGAATTATAGACCCACTGTGGAGTATAAAAGAATTTTTATTTGTAGAGTCTAGTGATAAATTTGTACAAAAATCACTGGCCTATGACTAAAAAGAAGGCATGCACAATATATGGCTCAAAATCGGCAAAGGGGTAATTGAATGTAACAAATCATTTTTGGGTATTATAAAACATTCAAAATGCTTTTTGCGTAGTTCATTATACTTATTTTACAAAATGAAGTTTTATGGGACTATTTTGGGGCCTAACTAAATTACGTTACTCAAAGACCGACATATTTGGCTTGTCAAAAACATTCAGCTGTCGCAAATTTGTTGACTTTTCAGAAACACAGAAGTGGTTTTGATGCACAAAGTTGTTTTTATTGTCTCTTATAACAAAAATCTTTTATCTAAACCCATGAAAATGCAGATCCTGTAGTAAATAATAGTGAAAAATCACTTTTTAAAACTGTTGTTCCATTATTACCCCTTAGCAGATTTTGACTCATATCAATATCATATTGGTTATTGGCCGATATTAGTGTTTATTTTATTTAATATATTGTATTAGTCAATATTAATGTGTAATTTTTTTTTATTTAATAACTTCCAAAATTTTTACATTTAGATTACTTTTTTCCATCATCTAACACTCAAAGTTGATCTTCAAAAGCACTAAGAACTTAATGACAGTTAAATTCCAAATAAAAATCTAATTTTCATACTGTATGTTATAACATTGTGATGCCTAAATTGCATGTAAAACATTTGATCTTAATTTTTAATATTTTTAATTTGATTTAATAGATATCGTCAGTTACTACTTTCAGTAGAATATTATATAAGCCATTTATCAGTTACAGCTATAGCACCTAAAGTTCTTGGAAATATAATTATATTGCTCTTTCTACCGATAAATTCTCAAATGCAATCGATTGTCTAACATTAGCACTCTCTTTCTCTTTTATTGTAGCTTTGGTGTGATTTCGACAAATCCGGCTCATTCAGGAACCAGACGTTTAATGCATCTGCCTCAATCCCTGATATCTGCTTCTACCCAGAGGTCTTTTCATCCACCCTCCCACACAATCAGACCCACAGCTTATTGCCAGTTTCAGTCTGTTAAAAGGATTGATAGAATTCTAGCAAATGTGTAAACTGTTTAAAATCAATTAATTCACTGTACACAGAGCAATGGCGTATTAATGGTGATGTTGTCTGCCTGTTTATTGACAGTATTTCGTGTTTACTGGAGTGTTGGCTATGGTGACGTGTGCAGTGTTCCTCAGACTGAACTCGGTTCTGAAGCTGGCCATCCTGCTGATCATGATCGCTATCTACACAGTGCTGACAGAGGCCTTCTACACACCACTGTTCATCCGCTATGACACACTTACACTTAATCAGAGGTATGCAAACTCCCACATTGTGCCATTCAGAAGCCATTAAGGAACAAATTATAAAGAGCGAAATTATACATCACACTTTAACTGTATGGATGTGATTGTGACGAATCAAGCAAGTTCGTAAAATGACGCGGACCAACTATAAGAGCAATAAATGTCTTGCTGTTTCTAAAGTAGCAGTCTGCGAGTGTTTTAATAGATTTCTGCAAGTTTTATGATTGACGTCACCCAGTCATAAATTTCTGTCTTCTGCCAAGCTCTTAATGAGAAGGACACGTCAAACTACGTCAGAAAGTAAATGTGGGTGGTGTGGCCTGGTGGTCAAAAGATTAGGTTGGCAACTGTAAATGTATAGGTTTTTAACCCTGCAAGGATTGCAAATACACTTCTGTGACTGCCTACATACACTGCCAAAAGTTTGGGGTCTGTAAGGTTTTTATTATTACTGTTATTATTATTAGTAGTAGTATTATTATTCAGCAAGGCTGTATTAAATCAAGACATAAAGACATTTACAATGTAACTTAAGATTTGTATTTCAAACAAATGCTATTCTTTTGAACTTTCTATTAATCAACAGATCCTGAAAAAATAGTTTCCACAAAATTTTTAAGCAGCACAATTGTTTTAAACATTGACAATAATAAAAAATATTTCTTGAGCAGCAAAACAGCATATTAGATGACTGCAGTAATGGCTGCTAAAAAAATCAGCTTTGCCATCACAAGCAAAAAGTACCTTTTAAAATAGCATTAAATTTAGAAAACTTAATTCTATTTTAATATTAAAATAGAAAAAAGTTATTTTAAATTATGGTAATATTTCACAATATTACAGTTTTTGCTGTATCTTTGATCAAAAAAAAAAAAAAGCAGCCTTCATGGACATAAGAGATTTCTTTCAAGAACATTAAAAATCTTACCCCAAACTTTTAACAGTTGTGTGTGTATATATATATATATATATATAGATAGATAGATAGATAGATAATAATAATAATGTTTAGCCATAGATGCACAATAGTAATAATATACCAGTTATGAGATTTTCTTTTGTAACTGGTCAGAATATTATTTGTATTTATTTATTTGCTGATTAACAGCACTACAGAAGAAAAGTTACTGTGCATCAAGTTCTTCATTGATGTTCATCATTTTCACATGATATTTCAAAGGCACTTCAAAGAATACTATGGTTTACCACCCAGAAAACATGGAAAAATTGGGGGGAAATATTTATATAATATGAAAAAAACATTAAAGTAAAAGCTAAATAAATTATTTGCATGTACTACTTATACAACATTGTTGCAGTGCTAAGATGTCTGCCCTAGTTATCATCATTGTGCACCATATTTACTCCATATTATTCCAGAGTTATTGTCCCTTATGAGAACTCTGTAAATCACTTAGATAAAATAAAACAAACCCGTCTACCAAATTACAACCTCTAAAGAAGAGCTAAACCTCTAAAGCAGAACCAAATCCTGAAAAAGACATTATAATCCACTTTCATAAAAAAATAAACATCTTTTTAATGTCAGGTATCATAAGTGTTTGACAAACAGTGTACACTGTGATTAAGGCTCTTTATGACATTTATGACAGATGTTTGTCTTAACTAACTGCACTCTGGACATTATAAATGTGCTGCAGAGCTCATGAGACTTTCTGTCCCGTTTCCCTGGTTACAGCAAAAGCTTCCTGGGAACCAAGGAAACGTCTCTGCTTCTCATGGCGATGTTCCTTTTAGCTGTGTTCTACCACGGCCAACAGGTAACAGAGGCGCACACACAATCGCTAACCTGACAGCGGATCAGGGGCCATTCAGTGCCTATTTTATAATGTCACGTTTCTAAGAAACGGCTGCAAGTTATTGGCTGCTTCATAAGGTCTCACAGTCAATATATAAAAGCCCTGCTCTCTCTCTGACGCACCGTGTGTGAAGCTTTTTAAGTTCACTCTTCTGATTGTTGTCTTTGATGCCGTAGATCAGTGGAAAGAGCCAGTCCGAGTTGTGATGAGCGAGAGAGAAAGAGAAATGAGTGCTGGGTTTGTGTAGGTGTGTGTGTGTGTGGTGTCGGCACCACTCTGATTAATTCTCACATATGATCGCAATGCTTTGTGCTTGTGCCATGTGTTGTGTCCAGCTATAAACTGCCTGTCCCCCCATCCCCCCCATATGTATGGCAACAGCAGGTGGTAGCACTTGCACTGCTTGGCCTATGGATTGGGATTTGGCGTGTGTTTCTTGGACAGTGATTTGATCATTTCTTATTTATGCTCATTTTGGTGTGTGTGTCGGATGAATGAACAAGCACTCTGTCACTGCAGGTCAGTGTCTGTGAGGGTTTATTCTTCATATGCTGTTGTTTTTATGAGACATTAATTTGCATATACAGTGGGGTGCAAAGGTCTGAGAACACACTGAAAATCTGGGAATCAAAATTCAGTTTGCAATAAAAAGTTTTCTAAAAGTTTTAGGATTTTGAAAAAAAAATAAGACAAAGAAATGTTGTAAAATGAATCTAAAAATTGGAAAATTATGTAATTGTTTAATTGCTTCAACACTGCAAAAAAAAAATCTTGTAACACTCCAAAGAGAAAGGAAAAATTTAAATCGCATCATATGACCCCTTTAAAAAACATTCGGAAGAAAAAAAAATTTACTCAGAGTAAAAACATTCTTAGTGTTTTTATCTTGTTTTTTATTTTAAATTTCTAAAAATGCATAGAATAATTAGATTACTTGATTCAACACTGCATAAGACATTAATGCTTGTTATCCTGTATTTTATCGTGAATTTAAGTGTCTTTCTTCATTTGTTGTTTATTCACCTTTTCTCAATTATTTATACTTAAAATAAGCAAGAAAATAAACAAATGGAGCCCCTAATGGGACATGGTAATGGAGAAAAACATTGAGATGATAGGAAAATTATATTTCAGTGGTTTTTTGGTGCTCACAAAACTTTTGTGATGGAAATAATGAGGAAAATTTACATTTTAATTTTGTAATTTTTATTTTGTGATTAAATAAAGTTTGGGGCAACGCAATACTTTTGCCAGAGAATTCAAATGTTTTGAGAGCCAATGCAAAAGCATTGAAATATAATTTTTCCTCCCATTTCATATTTTTGTCCACTTAGGGGCTCCTTTAAAAAAAAAAAAACATCAGTGGAGTAAGATAAAATACACTTATATTAAAGATACATTCTCTGAAAGCAAGTCTTCATATATTATGCGTTGTGGCTTCTCAAGAAAATGTGTCTTGTTTTAAGGATTTAAAGATATTTTAACAAAACTGAATAATTAAAAACATACAAAGAATTTATTTTTGCAGTGTAGACCGAACTGAGATTAAAAAGAGAGCCAGTGGCTTTAGATTTTTGCTTTAGTGTGTCTGCTTAGTGTTTCTAAAGAATTTTTGGAGAAAAATCTAGGACAAAGTAGATACTTTCTATAAATGGAGAACTCCAATGAGTCTACTGAGCTCTGAAAGGCACTAAAATGGGCTAAATTCAGCACATGTTCCCCTTGATTAAACTGTAAATGCAGGTACATGCCTCACTCAATGGAATAAAGCATGAGGGAACATAACTTTTGTATTATCTGCTGAGTGAGATCCTTGAGAACCAGTATGTCACCACCAAAGAGCTTAGCACATCATTTTATCGTGGATAAAACAATGCATTCATTTTAGCCACTATTGAAACAGCTGCTCTTCCACCAGCCAGACTTCAACCATTTAAATTAGTGTTCTGATAGCGATAAAGTCCCGAACCACTCCAGACAGTGGTGAGATTCAAAACCGGGCCTCCCAAGACACCTAAAACTTATAAAACTCATTTATGTTAAACTCTTTTCATACAGTTTGTTTTTGTCAAAAGTAATTTGGTTGATATGCACTGCTTTAATTGACTACTGTCTGAGTGTGTGTGTCCGTCTCTGTGTGTGTGTGTGTGTGTGCATGTGTTTTAGAGGTTAATGGAGGTTAGTCTTGTTGATGTGTTTTTAATAATCAGTCGGACAGTCTTACACCCCTGTCTGCCCCACTTGCATAATTACTCCTCATAAAATCATCTTTCACTTCATATTCAATTTGAGAGCATACGCAAATAAATGCACACACTCATACACATGCATAAACACTTACATCACACCCTGACTGTTAGTAAATTAATTTTTCAATCTGGACGCCTTTGTGAAACCGTTTCAATTAAAGCTGGATATTAATGTATGCAGATGAGCGTGTGTTACTGCTTAATTAGAGGGGACCTTGTTGTCTTCATTTGGAAGAGAGCTGATGGAAGCCAGGCCGAACAGAGATAGCAGAAACGCAGTACGGCTCACTTCCTGTTAAGAGTCAAGATATACCGCAAAGGGTCATGACACTGCCAATGCATTTAAGGGTACTTACGGAGTACAGTGTGTGAAAGAAATAAAATGAAAAGTGATGTCATCATCTACTCATGTTGCTTGAGGACCAAACGCTAATCTGTCCTGATGCCTCATAGACAGCGCTTTTTGCGCTTTGTCAACATGCAATAACACTCACAACAACATTGTGAGTGATGTCTGTATTCATGAAATCAAAGACCATCCCACTGAAACTGAACACCAGTTGTCACAGGAGACACATTTGAGACGCTTGTCCAGATATAAACAGCAAAATAATAATTATTTGCGATCCGATCACCTGAGATGGATCTTTATACAAGGTTTAAATAGAGCCAACGGCGAGACTCTGCAGGTGAATAGGGTAAAAAAATTAACTACTAATTATCACCTTACTTACCCAGTTGATTGATTACATTGATAATTGCAAAAAAAAATTTGTATTACAAGTTTTCTAAAATGTTATGTTTAAATATTCAAATGAAGCATTATTTAATGAAATATGCGCTAGTTTGCATACATTTCTAGTACAAAAATCTGAACACTGGATCAAGTCAGTTTCAAAATTCTTGTTTATTTTTTTTGACATATTAGAGGCAAATGTTTTTACAGAGGGAATTTTGGGTATCTCTTTTTGTCACT